CCCAGCCGAGCCCGCGCCGCTGGTTCCGTCTAGCCCAGCCGAGCCCTCACCGCTGGTTCCGTCCAGCCCAGCCTAGCCCGCACCGCTGGTTCCGTCCAGCCACGTCCAGCCAGAGCTTCACGTCACGCCTGCCGAGCCAGAGCTTCAAGTCAGCCCTACAGAGCCTTCTCCGCTGGTCCCGTCCAGTCCTCCCGAGCCTTCTTCGCTGGTCCCGTCCAGTCCTTCCAAGCCTGTCCTGGAGCACGTCCCTGAGCCTGGCAATCCCCCCCAAGAAAATTTTGGGGGGGGGGATATAGGCCGCCCGAAGGTGCGTCTCCGCCATGGCCGCCCGAAGGTGCGTCTCCGCCATGGCCGCCCAATGGTGCGTCTCCGCCATGGCCGCCCGAAGGTGCGTCTCCGCCATGGCCGCCCGAAGGTGCGTCTCCGCCATGGCCGCCCGAAGGGGATTTTCCGCCATGGCCGCCCGAAGGGGATTCTCCGCCAGGACCGCCCGAGGGGTGGTCTCCTACTCCGCCATGGCCCCCTGACCAGCCTGCTCCGCCCTATTGAAGTTATACGGCGCGAGGACGCGCCTTTTTGGAGGGGGCGTTATGTTACATGTGTCCTGAGTTTCCCCCCGCCATTGTGTATTTGGTTTATTCCTGTGTCTCAGTTTTCCCTCTCCTCGTTAGTTCTCAGTTCCTTCACCTGTGTCTAGTTCATTTGCCCCAGCTGTGTCTTGTTCCCCTATCTGTTCTCTGTGTATGTAAACCAGGGGTCTCAAACTCAACTTAACTGTATCAAGTATTCCACAAAAAATAGTATTCAAGTATTCCAAAAAAGGAGTACAACTGATCCAATCTTCTCAATATTTATTATTAGCGTTTCTTCTGAACTGTTCCTCTGAATTTGAACATTCCTTTCTTTACATGATTGGTTCTTCATGAGCTGTCCTTCTGACAGTTGAAGTTCATTTTACAAACTTTCTTTGTCTATAACACACATTTGTGATATTTATATTTGCTTATGTGCTTTTTATTTTCTTTATACAACACATTAATGATATTGAATGTTTTTTTGGAAGGCACATTTCCTTTTATTATACTTAGAAAAACAATTATTGCTTTAGAAATACAAATATTTGCAGTCATGTCTGCCTGTATTATTGAATTCTTTTTACACATGTATAGTGTCTCAAATTACTGACTGCACAAATCAAAGCAAACCTTCTTATCAACCTGTTGGACACATATTACAAGCTCAAAATGATTATTCTCACATTGTTTTAGAGCAGGGTCTCTCTCCAACACGTCGCTCGCGAGCTGCCAGTAGCTCGTGGCCTGATTGGTGGTAGCTCGCCAAGGGGCCGTTCACACATCGCGCTCACATATTTTGCGCGCTTAAGTTCGTTATTTCAAATGTAGGCGCGCGGCAAGCGAGCTCATAATTGAAGCGACGCGCTCATTTTTTCCAGGCGCAGTATGTTTGTACTTCGCGGTTGTCTATGACAACTATTGACAACAAACCCACCGTAAGCTGTCACGAGACTATCTATGGTAGCCCGTAAGGGATAAAAAAATAAATAATTTTTAAAACGCGGCACACGCAACGACGGGCCGCACTAACATTAAACTTTAATGTCAAGTAGGGGGCCACAAAATATCACCACGCGGGCCGCAAATGGCCCGCGGGCCGCGAGTTTGAGACCACTGATGTAAACCCTGTGTTCTCCTTCACTCCTTGTCGGTTCTCGTTTGTATATGGTGCGTTTATATAGTAGTGTGTGTTTATGCTCCTGAGATTTTGTTCATTAAATCCTGTTTTCCTGGTATCCTCGTCTCCTCGTGCTTCCAGCCATACACCACCTGTAACAGTGTGTGTGTATGTATAATATTATATATAGGCTATATATATATATATATACATATAAAATATTATTAAAAATATTATATATTATATACAATACATCAGGTTACCAGTTAGCTAACGTTAGTGAAGTGTTGGTCACGTAAGCTATCGCTGCAATTAACCTATTATCTTCCAATAAACATTTACTAAAACTGGCTACATAAAATATAACTACAGACTAGATTCACGAGAGGTCGGCTAATGTGTGTAAAAGTAAAAAAAATACAGTAATTTCATTAATTTACCAGCGAGCGTACTTCGGGAGCACTGAAAATGAATGGGTTTCAATGCTGGAACTATCAGTGTTTGGAACTATTGGCTGCTCCACGACACGCGTTACTTCCGCATTCCAAAGTTCCTATGGCGGTCTATGGGAGTGTCGCAACTCTTTCTCTCTATGGCTCTGGTTCGTGTTGTGTACATGTTGAGGAGACGCTGTTTTCTGCTCTGCAAAAGCGAAATCTCTTTGTAAGCACTTCCAAATAATGAGGATGTGAAGAGGTTAAAATGAAGGTCTTCCCACATGTGCACCGCAATAAATTAGAAATATACACATGGGTTTGTTGATGAACATACACTTGTTAAGGCTGATGCTGAGGAATTATAGTTGCAACATCTCATAATGTACCTAAAAAACAGCGAATCTCTGAGAAACGTCCTGCTCGAGTCGCCCTTGCGATGGAGGTTCGGGTTGAATAACTAGTTCTTCCAGTGTTTCATCATCGGACTCGCGCTCGGATTGATATGGTAAAATATATATTATACATTTTGATACAATGAAGGCCATGTAACTAAAGCAGCTCAAGAAATCACAAGGAAAACTAAAGCATATGCTAGTCACGATCTGTAGTATTGTTGCTTTATCTAAATTAATAATAGAACAGATCATAAGAGTCCATTGAGATCTGATGTTTGGGAAACAGCTAACCATATAAAGGAGATTTCTGCTGTCCTATTCAGCCCAGCTCTCGAATAACCTTCCTCAAATTCCCCTTCCTATATAACACTATAGCCTACTGGTTGTGAAAAAGTAAGAGAACTTGAAACATTTGTAAACCTGAATCATTTGCAACCCTGAACATGTAACGTTACATGAATGGTGTAAATTCAACTACAAAGATGGAATATTCCTGACTGGTGTGTAGAAGTTTGCTGACAGCAGGACGTATGACATCTTCCACAACACTGAAATTACCGTTGCTCCCTTTTAAGCCACACTTAACGCTACTCTACACTTCACTTCACTCACAAACATATATATTTGTAAGCATCTTCAAGCCTCGTGGGTATAATTACCTGCCGGAGTTCTGAACATGTTTCTATTTAGTGAAAGTACTTACTGCCACTGGAGGTGTGTAAAACAGAGAAGTCTCTCAGGCTCAAACAGAGCAGGACGCTCAATAAAAGCAGACCCAGTCCAGTGGAATACCGAACAGCTGGAATGAGGATGTAAATGTGACGGTGTGATGCAGGACTGCCCTCTGCTGGTTCTGTCACCATAACAGATCCTGGTGGCAACAACATCCAATTAAACTGGATATGAAGCTGGGATAAAGAAAGGTCTTTGGAGACGAACCTAATGAGCACAAGGACGGGAAACAATTCTTTTTTTAGTTGGCCTGGAGTTTACAAAGAAGATGAGAAGAAAATGCAGAAACATTACAAAATGCACAAATTCTTCACACTAACAGTGTTTTATATATTACAAAACGATGGCCTGGTTTCACAGACGGGGCTTATTTTAAGCCAGGATTAGGCCTTCAAGTAGCTTTTATAAGCCTGCCTTAGAAAAAAAAAACATTATTGGTGTGAATATTGAGACAAAACAATGGCACTGACATATTTTAAGAGCTGTCAGTGCAAGTTGCTTTCAGTCAAAACAGCTCAAACATGTATTGGGATTAGTTTAAGCCTCGTATGTGAAACTATAGCTGTGTAAATAATCGATTTTAAAACTTTTAAAGATAGCTTCTTGTTTATTTAGAAGGCTGCACAGTCCAACAAAATACATTTTAGTTTGATAAATTGTGACATTTTGTTCAGAACATCCTCGCCAATTTCCATTACCATAATTGCCATGATGTTTGTGTTTTCAGTGTGCTTTAGTTCCAAAAAACACTACTTAAAATGTGTCTGCAAGATGATTTTAAACTCCAGATTAGGGGTGGCTCATATGATCATTATGTGAACAATTATACCGCAAGTACTGCAGATACTGTATTTTAGTAAAAAAATAAAAAACATTAATTACAATGATGAAAATCTAATGAGAAGTACAAATAAACTCAAAATTAGAATGTCCGTGCGCATTAAAATAACCACAATTTGGGGGTAAAACATGAAAATAATGTCACAATGTATCTACAAATAGAACTCTGTGGCTTCCTATTAATTTTGGGGTGAATATGACCCGTGTATGATTTTGTGAAATATGCTTCTAAGACCCTTTAAAACGATGTACTGACAGATGTCGTATCTTATGTGTGAACTCAAGATTCACTTTTTTTTTTTTTTGCCTAACTGAAATGAAACGTCCTTGAAGTGGCCACTGGAAGCTCACACTAATTAATTTATGGAAGCTGTGTGATTGCTATCAAGTTATAGTTCCTTTCGATCGAGTCTCAGAGCATTGTTACCTGGCGAGGGTGAGAAGCTAAATTTACACTCAACCAGAATGTTTTGGCGCAGGTGGCTCGAAAACAATACCTCCACGGTGTCGCCTGGGAGTGTGCATGTAATGAAATGGCCTGCGTATTTAACATGCAGATGTATCCATGCTGTAATTAATTTGCCATTACTCCTTGATTGATATCCCTGTGTGTTTTGAAGCAGACATCAGGCTATAATTACTCCCCATGTTGTGCTCCCTCCATTGTTTCGTTACAATAAACAGATGCTAATTTTACCATGGCAAACAAGTAATTGTCCTGCTCAATAATTGGGTAAAACAGTGACCGTCTGCCATTTGCTGGGGGAGAATTCAAACACGCACGTTATTTGTCTCTTTCGTTTAATTTCACTGAAAACTTCCATTCAAAGCCAAAACATGTAATCCCAAAAGAAGGCATCACAATGACTGTGGAGGTGCTTTCAGTCTCTTTATTTAGACGATAAAACCACTATACTTTTCTCATCCGTTTCTTTGGCCGCTGGGTGAAAGGCGATGTGCCCATGAGAGAATCTGGTGAATGGGACATGTAACTTCCCTCTGAACCTCCAGGAGATGGAGGGATGCCAGCCTCACTCATGGTGGACATGGGACCCTCTTCAAAGACGTCGCTGCCCAGAACTCCATGACCTGACACCTGGCCCTCCTCACTGTCCTGGGGCTCCATCTTCACCTGGGCTAGATGCCACAAGGGGGAGCTGTTCCCTGCTGCTACTGTTGAAGACACAAAACAAACAAACACTGGATTCATCTGCAGTATTAACAAACTTTTCCAATGTCCATGTCTTTAATTCTATCCTTGCTGTTTCCCTTAAAGATGCCATATTATGCTCTTTTACAAAGCCTTCCAGTGCGTCCCAAATCGGGTACTGTTTGAGTAGGTACTAATGTACGTTTGAATTTGATCTTACTTTGTGACCGTTAAAAAAATATGCTCTATCGGGTACTGTTTGAGTAGGTACTAATGTACGTTTGAATTTGATCTTACTTTGTGACCGTTAAAAAAATATGCTCTATATAGTATGAATATGGGTAGTAATATGAATGAAATTCAGACATACTACATCCACAATGTTGTTACTGTCACGTGACCTTCCAGTATCAGTTGCGTCGCTTCACTTCCATTCACGAATCCTCTCCCATGGCCTCATGGGATAGTAAAGTGTCCATCGAATGCGCACTTCAGAATCTCTGTGGGAGGAGTAGGTCATCCAGGGACTTTTTGCCTACTGTTTTTCGAATACTACACTATAAACCCGAATAAGTTGACAAAACTCAATAAATTTGAGGTAATCAGTTACATCCAAAACTTTTCTTAAACTTAAAAATCTTAACTTAAAAATTAAGTAAGCAGAACTTGCATATTTTTATTTTGTACTCAGACATTTTAATTGCTCTTAACATGAACTATTTGAGTAAGCTAATTCATTCATTCATTTAACTTAAAATTATCATGTAATCTCAAACTTAAATTTTTTAGCAGAAGAAACTTGGCTAGCTTTAACGAGCTAATTCGGTAAAAGCTAAAATCCCAGCCCAGTTCAATTTAACTTTGACTAAATTAAAAGAAAGCTACAAGTTCATAAAACTCAAAAGAAAAATAAATTTCTAAAAACTCATTAAAGTTAATTTGATTGAACTAATTTCTTTAATTTAAGTTTACCCTACTTAAACTTAAAATCACTTAAAAATTCTGATTAATTGAAAGATTTACAATGTATGAATTTGGAAATACTACACTTTTGACATACTGTTTTTCACATATTACATGTAGTGTAGTATTCGATTTCGGATGGGATTTTGTTTTTGGGGTCTACTAGAATAGGTTTTCATGCTTATTTTCCCCATATTTCACATTGTTACATGTGTCATTAAACATGACACTGAACAAAACAAACTGATTAGTTGCTTTACATGTCAGTCAGACAGCCTCTGGGTGTTTCTTGGGCAATGAAAGCTGAGATGGAGTCCAGACCTTCTGCCATCTATAAAGACGAACTATAATGTATTTAATAAATCGAAGCTCAATATAGATATGAATATCATTAATGGTTGAAACACACTGGTAAGAATGAGGTCTGCAGTGACTGCTGCATGCTCGTGTAAAAATCATTATTTATTATTCAGGTACTACATTTGGAAAGGAAAATATGTTTTCATATGCAAATTTTACCCAATTCAAAATTTGAGATAAATGGCTTTACGCTTAACAGCCCTAAAATAATTCTCTGCTGATGTGCTGAATGCGGTACCAGGAACGCCTGATCCATAATAAGTAGAATGCCGAAGTAGTTGCGCGGACAGTTTTGCTTCAACTCATCCTCTTTAAAGTACTATCTCAACAGCCGCTTGTGTAACAAACTCGATGCCTTCAACAATAAATTTCAAAGACAATCACGGTCGGACGTCAAATCGCCTGCAGTGAGCAAAGTTCCTGTTATTATGCAGAATCCACATGTTGATTTGTGAGGTGTTGTTGACAGATTAAAGGACAGTATTTCTCTAAAGTCTGTTGTTGATGCTTTATACTGTGCTGCTAGCTCCCGAGTGTCTGTCAGAACAGACAGATTATAAAATATTTGCAGTAGGAAAAAAAGGATAACACACAGCTGGGCTTCAATTAGATGTTTTCCATGCAATTTTTCTAGTCTAACAATTAAGAATTTATCAATGCAGAGTAAGAATCAGCTTCTGAGTCCAAACACCCAGATTGTATTAAAACTCTTTATGATTATATGTGGGCTTTGAAATAGTAATTTAGACCAAGGGCCAGATTTACTAAACAGGGTAAATTAGCGTGAGAGCACAATCCCATAAAAGTGCAGATGGGAGTGTAAAGTTCTGTGAATGATCTACTGACAACATGGAAATGAAAGAACACAGACCCAGCCGGATCATTTCCATAATGACCAACACAATCTACCAAGAGCAGAGCAAATTAGCGTCTGGTTTAAGACATGCTTTTTAGGAGGTAAATAATGGCACAAATAGCAGTAAACTGACGAGCGCAAACCTTAGTTAATCACCTTGCGTGATTCATTTAAATACTCTCCTATACATTTTGCGTCTGAAAGGGAAACTCCTACAAATGCATATGCACTAAGGTCAGCTGCAAAAATAACCCTGTCCACTCCTTTACAGCGCTCCTTTTTCACTGCGTGTCTTTAATAAATCCTGACAGTAGTTCAAACTGACCCAGCATGCTATGATTTGTTAACATTTTTAGACTTTTTATTTTATTTGATATTCCATGAATTCTTCAAAAAAACGTGTTTCTAACCTGCATTAATGTCATTTTAATATTCTTGATCACAACAGTTTTGTATCACTACCCCAAGAATGCATAAAGTGGGTCAAATTGACCCGTATTCATTTCCTATGGAATTTTGACTCAACACAGTACTTTTGGATACATTTTTGTCAATAATAATATTTATTTTCTTTCAACTTTATGGTTATGACTAACCTAAAAAACGGAAAAAAAAGCCAAGAATTTGCCTCAGAAACCAACCCCGTGTCTGAATACGCATATCTGCATTATACTATACTATATAGTAGTGTGTGAAATGAGTATTATCAGTTACAGTTTCAGTTTATTGTCCCCTAAGGGAAACTTGTCTTGCAGCCAGGTAAACATACAGATGACACACAGGTAAACACCACATACACATACCAATAAATGTCAAAATTATGTCAAAAAATACGCGGATGACCTACTACAGTGTAGACAGCCTCAAGTAGCTGTGGCGCATGTTAAAAAATGCTCTGGGTGCAGATATGTTGAATGAGTTTGTTATAAGCGAGACACTCGTATTTTCTCCAGAGAGAGTGGATTCCGTCTATTCAATTGCTTACTCACAGTCTACTCACAGCAACCTAGACTTTTTATTGAAACTAGCTTACTTTTACCTGGTGAGACATGCTTTCATAAACACCAAAAATTGTGATTTATGACCATTTAAACATGTCTTAATTAAGCACTAATAAGGATCCTTCAGGTACCTGATGTGTGAGGGGAATGTCCTTCCTCCAGTACTCCAGCCAGTCTTTCACTGGATGTTCCCAGCACACCGATGGGCAGGGCCTGGTCACCTGAGGCCAGATCCGCTTCCGGCTCCTCGCTCAAAGGAAACGCAATGTCACTCACCGGCTCCTCTTTAACCTTTAAGGGTTTGGAATCCTCCAGAGCCTTTTCTGGATTCACGAGTCTCTCGTACTCTTCTGAGAGCTCCTTACTGACCTGCAGTCAAAGGGATGTCAATAAAAGCTGCATCATGTACAGTCATGTAGGTACTGAAGCTGAAATAACATTGGAGATATCTCACCTGCAGCATGTAGCTGTGGTAATCTTTGATGCGGACCTGCCAGAAGCGCTGGAGCGCCAGGACGCTGCCAATGCCCACCTCATGAAACACCTGTTCCACCACATCAGGGAAAGGTGTAGAGCCCCGACAGGCCTCTCGATCAACAGCCACGCGCAGCAACTTGGTGAGCCGCAGGTAGTGTTCGTGAACCATATCGGTCAAAGTCTCCAACACGCTCTCATTGGCCGACTCGAATCCAGCGTGAGCGAGCACTGTGGCGACCGACTGGTACAGAAGCTGCCGGCAGGACAGCCAGCTCAACTCAGTGACTGGCTCACCTTTACCTCTAAAAGGAGAGAGGACAAGACATCTAATTAGGAATCACAGGACAATAAAGTTGGTTTCAAAAGAGTTTTGTTTTTTTGAATAGCTGATGATACCTAGAGAATAGTTTCATCAAGACAAATGTAAATGTGGGCTTTGAGATTGTAATAATAATAATAATTCATTACATTTATATAGCGCTTTTCTCTGCACTCAAAGCGCTTCACATAGAAGGGGGGATCTCCTCAACCACCACCAATGTGCAGCATCCACCTGGATGATGCGACGGCAGCCATATTGCGCCAGAACGCCCACCACACACCAGCTTACTGGTGGAGAGGAGACATAGTGATGAAGCCAATTGGTATATATATATATATGGGGATGATTAGGAGGCCATGATGGACAGAGGCCACTGGGCAAATTTGGCCAGGATACCGGGGTTACACCCCTACTCTTTCGAAAGACATCCTGGGATTTTTTGTGACCACAGAGAGTCAGGACCTCGGTTTAACGTCTCATCCGAAGGACGGTGCTCTTTGACAGTATAGTGTCCCCATTACCATACTGGGGCGTTAGGACCCACACAGACCACAGGGTGAGCACCCCCTGCTGGCCTCACTAACAGGCCTTACAGACAGACTAGGCTTGCCGCGATAGACGGTGTTGACGGTGTTACCGGTTTTAAGCCCCATCACCGGTGACATCACTTTCCCACCGTGACACCGCGATGTCTTGACTTTTTTAAAGTATTCGTTTTTGCTAAAAACTTACACACGCAAGGTCTCTCGCTCGCTTTCCCTCTCCCCCGTACGCGCGCGCTACGCGTTTGAAGCACAATCTCTGTCTCGCGTGCGCGCTCGCTCTAGATTCCAGGAGATTTTAACTATTTTGCGGTATAATTAGTCGATCACGAGTTGCTCAACAGGCAGATATATAGATAAACTCATCTTCCAGGCATTTGACCGACCAGGTTGACACTTCATGCCTGAGAAATCGGGAGTGTGGCGTGAGAGCGTGTGAAAGCAATCAAATGCGTGTGTCTCGCGGCCAATGCGTGAGAGTTGGCAGCTCTGTAAAAGCTTTTTAACCCCCCCGCCCCGCCCCCCACGGTCACACCGGGATTACCGGTGTTGTCAAACGTCGATTAACCGGTGGGAAATGTTCCTCACCGCGGCAACCCTAAGACAGACAAGGGTCAAGAATGTATAACAGTGTTGACGATTTTTAATAAAATCTAGTTCAGAATATAAGTCAAATTCTAAGAAATGTTTGTTGTATTCATGTTGGTTTAATATGCATTTGGTAAACTATTTTTTTTAGTCTAAAAATATCATGTGGTGCAAGTAACCAGGGCCTAAAATGAACACAGTGGTGAAACGGTGTCACTCTTTTGTGTCTTATGGCGCTTTTCCACTGCATGGAACGGTACGGTTCGGTTCGGTATGGCACGCTTTGGCGCTTTTCCACTGCATGGTACAGTACGGTACGGCTCGCTTCGGCTCGCTTTAAATGGTACCTGCTCTGTTGAGGTTCCAAGCGTACCGTACCGATACTAAAATCTGACGTGAAAACACAACAGATCACTGATTGGTCAGAGAGACAGAATCGTCACTATCAGCGTCATTGTATTTGCGACACGAGACACTAAACTCACTAGATTTAAATAGCCAGTAGACAACAGCCACCACTGTAGCACCTGTTTTAAAACTACTTGCTTGAAGAAAAAAGAAAGAAAGAAAACTTCCATAAAAAAGAAATGGCTGAATCGTGGTCAGTGGACGAAGTGCAGACGTTCGTCTCGTTGGTTGCCGAGGAGCGGATAAACTATAACGGTCCGACTATAATCCCACCCACTTTGAAGCGGTACTAACTGCAGTGGAAAAGCAAACCGAGCTAAAGCGAGCCGAGCCGTGCCGTGCCGAGCCGAGTCGTACCAAGCAGTGGAAAAGCGAAGCGAGCCGAACCGTGACGCGCCGAGCCGAACCGTACTGAGCCGTACCAGCAGTGGAAAAGCGCCATTAAGGTCCGAAATTTTTGCACGTTAAAAAATAAATACGACCTCACGTTGTGTCAATCACGTTTACACACTGCCTCCTTCAGAGCAACCGAATACGAAAATTTCGAACTCCGTGTGCAAGGACCTTTATTGTGCTTAAATTGTCAAATACACATAAACACGGTCTTTTCTACCTTAAGTGGATGTAAACGGATGCATGTCAGTATATTAGATACGTGCATGAGCTCTTAAAGTGACAGCAGCCTAATATACCTGCTGTTGTCTGTGTCATTAATGTTAATCAAACTATGAAAGACAGAGCAAATCACTCACTGCTCTTGACTGAATAACTTCTGTAGCTTTAAGAATCAGTGTATATTTAATTCATACAGTGAAGTCTATGTAATCTTTTATTTTTACATTTGTTTATTCAATTTCCTACTTGAATGCTACTGTTACAGTAAATGTACCTACTGTGGCTGAAAATATTAATGCACTGTTTATTTCATTGGTATCTTGTATCGTATGTGTCCAATTATTTGTTATTTGCATCTTTGTTCTTATTTTTAATAAGATTTTATTTTGGATGATTTTGGACTTATCGCCCACCCCTACTTTGGCCTAAATGGTCTGTCATTCTTTTGTCTTTTGTTGCCTTGTAAGGCTACATTTTTAAAATAGGGAAGTTGGAGTGCTGTGACTTGCAACATAGTCTTAAAAACCAAAATGAAAAATAACCATGATAAGATTGTGGATCGTGATCCTGTCTGAAAAGAATCGTGATATATGTTTGCTATATTTTGCCCAATATAAAAGGTAAAGGGATTTTTTTAAGACATTATGAATTTTTATTGAACTCTAAATAAATAAATTAATATTAGTTTCTGGGTAGTTGCATCACATGAGATTTTACAAGCTGAACTAACCTTGCCTTATAAAAATGAAAAAAGTTACAATTAACTGTTGCAGTTACTATAAAAAGTTACAATTAACTGATATTTTAAGAGACTTATTGACCTGGACACTCTCTATGAAATCATTTCCTGTTTTAAGTTTTGCTACATAATTTGTTTTCTAAGAAATAATACAATTCTGCATAATAAGGTTCTCATTTAATGAATTTCATTCTTTTAATGAGGCTTTTTACTTCATTACGATGGCAGGGCAGTTGCATCACCCTGACATTAATACTTTATGCACCCATCAAATATCATTCAAAGTTAATTTCAATGCAGATGTGTTACTGTTCACCCTACAAGAGTTGCAAGTATGAGTTTAATTTTAATGGATCTTTAACATATTTTTAGAAAAAAACAATGACTTTCATGATGATCTACTGACGTACTTGTAGAAGTCGCTCTCTGGGTCACTATGGCGTAGCTGGAATGGATGTCGTGGAGCTTTACTATCCAGTGGAAGCAGATCATCAGGTACAGTGGGTGTGACAGGGCGAGGAGGTAGAGCATCCACATCCTCAGGTTTGAAGACACCCTGGGCATCTAGTAATGTGGGCAGAGGCTGCTGGCCCTGCTGGGCAGCAGCAATGAGACCCCGGAGGCGACGGGCATGCTGGCTCAGCTGCACGGTGTGGATTGTGAGGCTGCAGGGCTCTGAGGGGATGTCCAGCATGGTGGTGGGACGTGGACGCTGGGCAGAGGGTTGGTGCAGGGGAGGGTCCTGCATCTCCACCTGCCGGAACTCGCGCTGCAGAAGGTCAAAAGAACTGCGGCCCGAGGGAGCCGAAGCCACTGGGAGCTCACCCCAATAACGCATCATCTTCACACAGTGCTGCTTTTGGCAGTGGCACAATTCTTGAGGACAATCTGAAACGCAAGTGAGCAAGCAATTTTATTTTATAGCACAATTTCAAACAACAGACGTTGTTACAACAACGATGACATTAAAACCAACCGTTATTGATATACAAATATGTATACATCATTGTAGTGTTTGTTGCACTGCTTTTATTTTATGCAAGTTGTAAAAAAAAAAAAAAAAGTATCTTGAAACCATCTATGGTTCTCATTAGATTGTCAGACAGTCACAAACAAGCTCAAAAGTAAAAGAACAAAATATATAAGTTAATGGTCCTAAAAAATATGAATAATTTTACTTTATGATTTTTTCTTTTGGACATGTTCTTCATGAGATTCCCTTTCAGTACTAAAAGATTACAGTAATTTCAATACTGATATACTATAATATGCACATAAAACGTTGTATTTATTTATTTTTACAAACTTTCATGTATTTAAAGACTTTTTGAATTGACACTACACAACAATGATTAGACGCCATGTAGACTCTAATGTTTCATGTAATAATTATAAAGCCTAAACATCAGAAAACAAACTGCTTGCTTTACCTTTTATGAGCAGATGATCATCGTAACGATGAAAAATAGCAAAATAGTGCAATATATATCATTTATTTTCAGTTTCGACAAAAACAACATATAACATATAACCGACTAGCGGCTGCCAGGTACAACACTAAAATATTTCCGTGGAAAATGTAAATAGTTCCTAGGCATTGGAGATAACAGATAAGAATTTAAGATGTTAAATTGAACATATATATGACAGATAATTATTATACATCCACATTAACATATTCTGATACATTTATTGTTATGAACAAAATAAGAATTTTTAATAAGAATAATATTAATTCAATAGTACAGGAACGGAATCATTAAAGTGTTACACCAAACACACCATGTCGGTTACTGAACACACGATGGAGTCTGAACGCAGCGGGCAAATAGAAAATAATCAAACTGAAATAGAAACAGAAAAGAGTTCGGACCCCACTTGTGATACCAAACAGCACATCACCAGCAATAATGAAAACACAGATGATCCTTTTAAGAAACCGGTTATTTTCGCGGCTCCATCTCTCACGGCGAGGAAACCAGGAGGATCAAACTCAACCAAGAAACTCACTGAAGAATCAAGATCAGAGAATAACGACACACATCTTAATACTAAACACCAGCCGACAGACACTCAAACAGACCCATCCGATCATCCATCATCCGAGAAAGCTGAGGCACAGAAGGTGGGTCATTGACATACAAATCATTTACAATGTGTTTAAACCCGTTTTTGTTGTTAAATAACATTTCAAAGTGTTTAAATTCATATTTTGACTATTTTTATGTCAGGCGGTACAACCAATATTTGCATGTATGTATACTGTTAGTTGTACCATCTGACATATAACGTTAAAGTGTATCTTACCAACCTTCCCATACTTGAATTGGGCAGTTTTTACCAGGATTTGAGAGAGATGTACTAACCTTTTCACTCTGCCACAAGGATTATTTGGGCTCCTCTGGATGATGCGTTATCATGTTTACTGTTATTATTACCTTGTCAAATCATAATAAGAGCCATTGCAGTTGTGTCACCCTGACATTTGAGAACATACAAATTGCTGGACAAAAAGCTGTTCAATTATCTCAACAGATTTAATACTACTGATATTTCAAAAAATGTGTTTATGAAAGGTTTCAAACCTAAAATAATGCTATAGCGTTTAGTTAACATTTATTATTAACATTTTTTGTTATTAGGACACCATATCTTAAATAGTTTTCTGAATCTGTTCATTTGTTCGGACAGTTGCACCACCTGACATATTGGGGTTTTAAGGTAACGATTAATGAAAATATGTATTATATACTAAAATGAATTCAAACTACCGGTAAATAGGTTTTATAGAAAAAAGTGATATACAGTACCGGTCAAAAGTTTTTAATGTTTTTGAAAGAAGTATCTTATGCTCATCAAGGATGCATTTATTTGATCTCAAATACAGAAGAAAAACAGTAATATTGTGAAATATTCTTACAATTTCAAATAATGGTTTTCAATTTTAATGTACTTTATATAATTTATTTCTGTGATGCAAATCTGAATTTTCATTAGCCATTACTCCATTCTTCAGTGTCACATGATCCTTCAGAAATCATTCTAATATGCTGATTTATTATCAATGTTGTAAACAGTTTATAAAATTAGTTTAAAAGGAAATAATGCTCTTGGACACAAAAAGATGCATGTCATGTCATTGACCCAGGTCCAGCCCAAACCAAAAGACATCAGACCCAAGATCACTGCCAAACTACCTCCGCCGGGCAAGTTTCCTCCTGTCCCGTACACCGAGCCCCCGTGGGGATCTGTTCCTGACATCAGCTACTCGTTCGAGCTGCTGAAAAACGGGGCGATACTAGACGCGGTCCCGCTGACCCAGAGGAGTTACTTCGTGGTGGGTCGGCTGCCGGTGTGTGACGTGTCTCTGGAGCATCCGTCCATCTCCCGCTATCACGCTGTGGTTCAGTACCGGGGCACAGCCGGGCAGGACGGGGGCCTGGGAGAGGACATGGGCTTCTATGCCTATGATCTGGGCAGCACTCATGGGACTTTTGTGAATAAGAACAAAATACCCCCTAAAACATACATAAGGCTCCGAGTGGGACATGTTTTAAAGTTCGGGGGAAGCACAAGACTCTTTATTCTGCAGGTATGTATTTCTTAAAGGGATTGTTCACCCAAGAAGGAAAATCATTTACTCACCCTCAAGTTGTTCCAAACCTGTAAGAGTTTCTTTCTTCTGCTGAACACAAAAGAAGATATTTTGATGAATGTCAGTAACCAGACAGATGATGGTAGCCATGAAAAAAAAAGAAAATGCTATTGAAATCAATGGGGCATCAATTGTTTGGGATAGCTACAAAATATTTGAAAAGCTTCTTACACTGTTTAAAAGAAATCACTTTACTACTTTAATATGATACTGAATGATTAGCAGATTAATTCACCAAGGTATTGACATCTTACTTGTTCATAATGGTATTTTTTGTGGCTTTACAATAGTAACAAAGCTGTAGTAACTACGGTTCCACCAGAAACTGTAGTTACCAATATTATGTTATATTTTTGTAACTAAAAGTCAAGCAGGTAATGAAGTTCTGAAATTATTTTTTTATTTAAATGTACACTAACTAATTATCGGTTGACCTGATAATTATTATATTGTTTTATTTCTATTATTTTTAGTTAAGCAAATAACATGTTACCAATATTCATAATAGATTTATCCCATGCTCATATTGCTTGAACATCAATTATACCAGATTACGTGTTTTCTCAGGGTCCAGAGTTTGACGAAGAAGCAGAATCTGAACTGACGGTGACAGAGCTCAGAGAACGTGCTAGAAAACAGAAAGAAGCGCTGGAGAAGAGGATGCTGGGTGATGGCTCAGATGAGGAGGAAGAGAAAGAGGAGAGTGAATCCAGTGCTACAACGAGAAGCTCCTCAGAAGATACTGGCTGCTCGTGGGGAATGGGTAACAATGATTCTCAATCCATTATAACTGCCTTCCTGTTTGTTGTGAACTTACACTGTCTTTGTTATTTTTTTTTAGATGAAGAGGCAGTGCCAGAAGAGGATGAGAATGAGGAGAATCCATTTGCCACAGAATTCCAGGAGGATCAGGAAGCGGCTTACTTAAAAGATCCTAAAAAGGCCTTACAGGGCTTCTATGATAGAGAAGGTAAAATATTAACTTAAAGGTATAGCGGAGGATTTTCTTTTTCTGGGTGGGTAGTCTATACTATTGGTCCACCTAAGTGTCAATCATTCTGGTGATATGTTTACGTAAGGCCGTCGTACGTGCTCGTCCCTATGTAGTTTTCTGCGCATGCACACTTTCAGTTGTATTATGTGTGATGAGTTACGGTTTCAGCCATTCCTTTGAAAATGGCTGAGGGTCGAAAGAGAAAAAATGTATACGAAGTGTATGATAAGAAGAGAAAAGCCGCAGAATATAGAAACAAGACCAGAGTGATTTTGGGTGAATATTTCACACGCTGGCGTGCGCTAAAAGCACATGTTGGGCTTCCCACTGATGCCGCAGTCGCGAAGATTCTACTAGACAGGTAAAGTTTGTCATGCTATTTGGAGAAATCCATTTAAAATCACTGCTAGTAAAAGTTAATGTATTAAGCTATGATTAGCGATGCTAGCCCTGGCACAAGTCATGCAAATAGAGTGTTGCGCATGTGCATTTTTTAAAAAATTGGAGAGGGCGGGTCTTCTCTAAAATTCGGAAAGATCCTCCGCTATACCTTTAAGTTAGACTGACGCCGGGCACGCCCCTTGAAGCGGCAGTTTCGGCGTCTGGTCTATTTTTTCCGCGAGCCGCGAGTGATCCGCGTCAATTCCAGCAGGAAGTTACACCAAGAAACACTCGACCATCCGGTCAATTGTCAAAATATAAGCAATTTTCAAATTAAAATACCCTATAATACCCTATAATCAAAAGATTTAGGGCAAGGGCTCTCCTCTTGTCTACTCGCACTGGGAAATTTGAAGAGAGGATGTATATTTCAACGGTATATACACTACTATAACTGTCTACCATATTCTCTCTCTGGCTGCGTGTGTGTCTCGACAACGGATTAATAAAAGAAGTGTACAAACTTCTTGGTTACAGAAACATGGTGTATTTATATTATGAGGTTGTACTTACCCATGATGTAAAAAAATAGCTCTGAATAAACAACAAATGAGCAGAAGCGCTTGTCGACCCTTCGCGAAGAATACGCGTCTGGTGTGGACAGGCAGGCGCCGGACCGTGCGTGATTTTCCGTTCCGCGTCGCTTCAGCGTCCGGTGTGAACCCGGCGTAACAGCACGTTCCCTTATCGAGTCGGTCTCTCGACATTACGTATGGGGAAATCCATTTTCCTCGAATCATGAAGTCTGATAGAATAACTCTTTTGCTTGCAAATAGCCAATGGCGGTCCCGCCATCACCTGATTGGCTGACACTGCTCAATATAGGTGACGGCGGGCGCCAAAAACCTCAGAATCTTTTTTCTTCACTCGAGTCTGTTTTCACCGTTGATGTACGCATTCAGAGCGGAGTATATTAAGGAGTTTTAATTCCCCTCTCGCGTTCCGGTGGATTATATTATGTCTCTTTGTCGCCCGTGTGGTGGACCCATTGAATCCCCGGACGCACACAACTTGTGTGCTGTGCCTGGGTCGGGACCACGCAGAGGCGGCACTCGAGGGATCGGGATGTCCCGCCTGTGAGGAGCTTCCCATCAGATCCTTCGTGCAAGGCTGGCCGTTACACGTAGCGACGACCTTTTGTCTCCTGCCTCTCCCCAGTCTGCCGCCGTCGAGCCGCGGACCGGGAGACGGCAGAGATCTCCATTCGCGGGTTCTGTTGAGGCGCTGACGTCGGCCCAAGGTCCACGCCATCCTCACGTGGCTGAGCCCGTGAGTTACTCTTGAGGCCATTTACCGCCCTCTTGAGGAAGCACGGGAATTATCTCGTTCGGTTACGACGATGACGACGCCAATGGTCCGAGTCTCCGTCTGAAGGCGCCCTCGCCTCTTTGGATGCGGAGCTTATGGCCATTCTCACTGAGGCGGTGGCAGATATGGTGCTGGAGTGGACAGCGCCCAAAGGAGCTGCCGTCGGAAAGGTGGCCTCAGCGCGGGCCGTAAAGCTGAAGCCAGAGGCAGTTCAGGAAGTCGCTAAAAAAAAAAAAAAAAAAAAAAACAGCGCTCCTGATGGGAGGAAAGAGCGCGGGACGTGTTCGTCGGACTGGTGCGAAGAGGGCGTGTTCCCGCCCAGAGTTCGACGAGAATGTGTTGTTTCCGAAACCGCTGTGTTCTGTTTCAATAACAAGGTACATTACATGTCTCAGCAAAAGAGCTTCTCTCCCCAACATTATTACCCGCCTCATAGATGGGAGACGCATCGCAGAGCGGAAGCTCGGGGAAACCCGAGGAGATGGCTATCTATGTCCCCGTGCATGATGCCGCGGACGAGCTATACCATTTCATATAGCAGTCAATGCTTTCCCGGTGGCTGGCGCCCAGCCCCCGCCGCAGCATTCATTGCCCTGTATGGCGATTCTGATTATTACACAGTGTGTATTCACAGTTGTTGCGGGATGCAACTGACGCTGTGTTACGTACACACCACACTGTTATGTGTAAGGAGGATTTATGCCATTATATATTGCCCTGTGTCCTTCAGTGCAATGGCTATTCTGATTACTGCAAGTACGTGTTCACAGTTGTTGCGCGATGCAACTGACGCTGTGTTACGTACTCACTACACACTGTTATGTGTAAGGATTTATGCCATTATATATTGCCCTGTGTCCTTCAGTGCAATGGCTATGCTGATTACTACAAGTACGTGTTCACAGTTGTTGTGCGATGCAACTGACGCTGTGTTACGTACTCACTACACACTGTTATGTGTAAGGAGGATTTATGCCATTATATATTGCCCTGTGTCCTTCAGTGCAATGGCTATTCTGATTACTACACCGTAAGTATTCACAGTTGTTGCGCGATGTAACTGACGCTGCGTTACGTACTCACTACACACATTTATGCCATATATTGCCCTGTGTCCTTCAGTGCAATGGCTATTCTGGTTACTACGCAGTACGTATTCACAGTTGTTGCGCGATGCAACTGACACTGTGTTTATGTACACACTACACACTATATTAATTTGCCGTTGTATATTGCCCTGTATCCTTCAGTGCTATGGCTATTCTAGTTACTACGCAGTACGTATTCACAGTTGTTGCGCGATGCAACTGACACTGTGTTTATGTACACACTACACACTATATGAATTTGCCGTTGTATATTGCCCTGTATCCTTCAGTGGAATGGCTATTCTGATTACTACGCAGTACGTATTCACAGTTATCGTGCGATGCAACCGACGCTGTACACACTGCACACTGATATGTGTAATGATTTATGCCTTATATATTGCCCTGTGTCATTCAGTGCAAATGGCTATTCTGATTACTACGTATTCACAGTTCGTGCGCGATGCATCTGACGCTGTGTTACGTACACACCGCACTCTGTTATGTGTAATGTTTTATGCCATTATATATTGCCCTGTGTCATTCAGTGCAAATGGCTATCCTGATTACTACGCAGTGCGTATTCATAGTTGTCGTGCGATGCAACTAACGCTGTGTTTGTGCACACTACACACTGATATGTGTTATGATCTATGCCGTCATATTTTGCCCTATCCTTCAGTGCAAATGGCTATTCTGATCACTACGTATTCACAATTGTTGTACGATGCAACTGACGCTGTCGCTGTGTACACACAACGCACTGATATGTGTAGCTATTACGCCGCTATATATTGCCCTGTATCCTTCAGTGCAACTGGCTACTCTTTTACTGTGTAGTCACAGTTGTTGCGCGATGCCACAGACGCTGTGTTATGTACATTGATATGTGTCTATGATTTATGCCGTTATATGTTGCCCTGTATCCTCAGTGCAGCCGGCTATTCCGATTAACTACGTATTTACAGTCGATGTCGCTATGCCTCTGACGCTGTGTTTTTTTTACACAAAAATGTAACTATGCTTGTGCATAGTCTCAGTCGTCGCTACGGCGACTTGCATTGCATCTGTGTAGATATTGAAGCGTTATGCTGCCCTTCAATGTAATGGACCATTGTGTACGCATATTCATGCAGTTTCGGTCGCTTCAGCAACTTGAGCTGCATTATACACACAGATGTTTAAAATGTGCACACTGATGTGGTATGCTGTTATGTTGCCCTCTATCATTCAGTGCAACAACCAGCTATCCTATCTAACTGCATATTCAGTTTGTCGCTACAGCGACTACACTGCACTTATGTACGTATAAGGACGCGTGTTGCTATTTTGTTGCTCTGTTTCTTTCAGTGCAAAACTAGCTATCTTAATCTACTGTGCATACTCACAGTTTCTGAATGTATGTACATACACGGATGTGCAATTTACCACATTATGTTATGCTGTAATGCTGCCCCGTTTCCGTGCAGCTAGCCATCCTGGTCGAACTGTACATCTCAGTTTCTGTCTCTACGCAGTTCTGTCGCTACGGCGACTTATGCTGCGTTATGTACATGCATGGATGCGCTACAGCGACCGATGCTGTTACGTACATGTGCTATGCTGTTATGTTGCCCCGTTTCCTTCAGTACAACTGGCTATTCTGTGCTAACTCGTCTACTCACAGTTGTAGCTACGGCTATGTGTTTGTTGTTTACTGAGGTGCTATGCTATTATGGGGCTATTATCTACTGCGTAAATTCATCAGAGCCCAGGTGGTTGCAATTCCAGCATTTTGCCCGGATGAGGTCCATTGTTTCAGAGTCTCAGAAGTACGCTTGTGCCCCATGCGTGCCCTGCGTGCTTATGTGAACAGAACTAGCCAGTTTCGAACTTCAGAGCAGCTCTTCGTCTGCTACGCGGGTGCTAAGAGGCGGCGCGCTGTCGAAACGGAGGCTATCTCACTGGATAGTGGAGGCTGTGCACTGGCTGGCTTATGCTTCACGGGAAGCCGTTTCCCTATAGGGGTGCACGCCCACTCCACTAGGAGTTTGGCGTCATCATGGGCGTGGGCGAAAGGCATGTCTATTCAAGACATTTGTTTCACGGCAGGTTGGTCGTCTCGTAATACCTTCGCGAGATTCTATAACTTGAATATCCCTTCATTCGCACCACATGTCTGTCAGTGCAGGGAGAGAAAGCTGAGCTGTCGTTGGACTAGGCTAGACTGCCCCGATGGCGCGCGCTCTAGCCACGGTTCGACTAGTCGTCAGACAGTGCGAGTTATTATTAGCATAGCTATCATGTTCACTATATTGTGCCCTTTGTTATGTCCGCATTCATAGCCGGCAGTATTTTCCTAAGCACCAATCACTTGCTGCAATCTCCCTCCATTCAGTTCAGCGTGCTTAGCTTGATGCAGTGTTAATTTCGTTGACGAAAATAACGACGAAAATTATTCTTCAACGACATTTTTTCACAGACGAAAACGAGACGATAACTAAATAAAACCTAGTTTTGAATGACAAAGACTATGACGAAAATCTATTGACACTTTCGTCAACGAATAAAAACTAGACGAAAATGTTAGATAGTGACGATTTGGGAAGCGATCCGTCAGAACTGATGTCCTGCGTGTGTGGTAGATGCGCACATTTGTAGGCTACTGTAACGTGATCTACCCCGCGGTCATAAAACGTTAAAAAATGTGAACGTCTGGGAGAATGAGTAGAGCAGACATATAGATCTCTGAATAAGAGTGACGATGCAAAAAAGAGCTCTATTCGGTGCGGTTTTCTGTGCGCACACACCTAACCCGAAGCGTGCAGTCATGCACAATACACCTACAGCGCGCGAGTAGGCTACTGAATTGAGCTCTCTTTCGTGTCTGAATGGAGAAATACACAACAGTATGTCTAAATGTCCTTTTTGGAGAGTATTCATGTAAACTATGCTGGTTATGTCTTAAACTGTGAGTGTGTCGGATGTGCATCAGTGCAATTGTATCCGCATGTCATTGGACATGATCCGACGTCTTAAAGTGACAGTGGCAATAAACCTAATGCCGTGTCCTTAATTTTGATCAAGCAACAAAAGAAAAAGAGAAAAGCATTCACTGTTTGTTAATAGCTTTAATAAGGATTAATTATATTTAATTCATACAAATAAATATGTCTGCTTGAAAGAATAAAGAATGATGTGTAAGTAGTTATAAGGAATGAATATATCATTCATTGTAAAGAAGACTGTGTTGTACTTTAGGAAAAGTGGTTTTATTTCATTTTAAGATATTTTTTAAGTAACAGCAGTTAAATATGTATCTGTATTGCATGTTCAAACTTAAAAATCATTCATATTAATAGGTTAATAGATGTTTTCTCCGGGAGTATATGGGTTTGGAAATTTTAGAGAAATTCTAAATTAACGCATTACAATTGAACTAAACCCATTATATTTTAGTCGACTAAATCTACTGTAGATTTAGTCGACTAAAACTAGACTAAAACTAAAACAATTCAGATGACTAAAATATGACTAAAACTAAATGGCATTTTAGTCAAAAGACTAAGACTAAAACTAAATCAAAATTTGCTGACAAAATTAACACTGGCTTGATGGGAGGGGCCTTCGTTGGTGCAGATGCCGAGTTGGCTCTGTGCCAATAGATGTTTCAACCAGGTCCGGTGTCTGTTCCTGAGAGCTGGGCGGGGTTTCTCTCACGCGGCGGGGGTTTTATTGTTCCCCATACGTAATGTCGAGAGACCGACTCGATAAGGGAACGTCTCTGGTTACTCACGTAACCGTAGTTCCCTGAGAGGAGGGAACGAGACATTACGTAACCTGCCGTGTGGGAGGGACTCTCAGTCTCCTTACTCTCGTTCAGCTAAGATTCTGAGGTTTTTGGCGCCCGCCGTCACCTATATTGAGCAGTGTCAGCCAATCAGGTGATGGCGGGACCGCCATTGGCTATTTGCAAGCAAAAGAGTTATTCTATCAGACTTCATGATTCGAGGAAAATGGATTTCCCCATACGTAATGTCTCGTTCCCTCCTCTCAGGGAACTACGGTTACGTGAGTAACCAGAGACGACTTTCAACTTAAAACAGAAAACCGTTCGTTTTCACGACAGCCACGTTTTGCAGGCCTGGGACGAGTTGCAAGTAGGGCTGCACGATATTGAAGAAAAATGCGATATGTGATGGCATTCTACGTGTTTCACATTCTTTTTGTGACAAGAAACATCCCTACAACTTCTGGAAGTGAACATTGGTGTTTTACTGTAGCATAAGAAGTGCTATTTTAACATCAGTGTAAACCACGGGGTTCAGGGTTTCAGGTTATCCTACATTAGGTTTATTTAACAACAGAAACTTCTGTATGAACTTCTGTATGTTTTCACTGTATGAATTAAAGATATACAGATTCTTATTAGAGCTAGAAAAGTTATTCAGCCAATAGCAGTGAGTGATTTTCTATTTCTTTTGTTCATGCAAGCAAGTTATTGCAAGCCGTTGCGATATATACACTACCGTTCAAAAGTTTGGGGTCAGTGAGAATTTTTTTTTTTTTTTTGGAGGAAAGAAATCAATACTTTTATTTATCAAGGAATAATTAATTTGATCGAAAGTGACAGTAAAGACATTTATAATGTTACAAAAGTCTTTTGAACTTCCTATTCATCAAAGAATCCAAAAAAAAAAAAAAAAACTGTACAACTGACAGACCAACAACTGTTTCAACATTGATAATAATAATAAATGTTTCTTAAGCATCAAATCCTCATATTATACTGATTTGTGAAGGATCATTTGACACTGAAGACACTGACACTGGTGATGCTGAAAATTCAGCTTTGATCACAGGAATAAATTACACTTTACTATATATTCACACAGAAAACAGCTGATTTACACTGGAATAATATTTAATACTATAACTGATTTTTGTTGTATTTTTAATCAAATAAGCGCAGCCATGGTTAGCAGAAGAGAATTCTTTTAAAAGTATTTAAAATCGTACCGACCCCAAACTTTTGAACGGTAGTGTATATATTTGCGATATTTCGATCATTTCGATATATTGTGCAGCCCTAGTTGCAAGTTTTTGAAAACGATACCATTATCGTCTCTGTGTAAACTACAAAATGTATGCGTATTACGTGTTCAGGCTATAGATGCGTAGTGTTTCTTTACAAAGTGAAATTGCCAACAACTGGCCTGGCAGCAGAATACAGCGTTTTTAGTCGTTTCCGTGGATCCGCGTGAACAGGGATTGTTTTGACAACGTTGTCGTTTGTACTCAAAAACACGCAAAGGAAAACCTTTTTTTAGTGCATCGTTGTTGTGTAAATGTACCCTTAAATGTAATACATTTCTGTACCACACACATCCGTGAAGTCACATACATGGATTTAACGGTTTATTTTCATTGCAGGAGAAGAACTAGAGTTTGAATATGAAGAGAAAGGCCATGGCTCCTGGCTCTGCAGAATTAAGTAATCACTTCATCTCTATTTGTAGCCAAACCACATTTACACCAGCTCAGTGTTCAGTGGCTATACAATTTCCACTTATTAATAAATGATACGTGATCATTTATTTTGGATATTGATATTTTATTTGTGTGTGTTTTAGGTTGCCGGTGGATGATGCCATGGGCAGGCAGCTGATGTCTGAGGTGACGCACACAGGGAAGAAGAAAGACGCTGCCGTCCAGTGCTGTTTAGAGGCCTGCCGGATCCTGGAGGCTCGAGGTCTTCTCAGACAGGAAGCAGGTACGCATCGCCAAAGCAGGTTCATGACTGGGATCAGACTCATGGAGCTGTCAAATCAACCATATGTTAAAAAAATGACCATGTTAGTTGGTCATTTTCTGTCATTTTATTATCATCATTTTTAGGGAATCACGCGATCGGAAATCGGCCCGATCACGTGGTTTCAGACTCGATCGGAATCGGACATTACCTCCCGATCAGGACTCGGATATATGTAAATTAGGGGTGTAACGGTACATGTATTCGTAATTATTGAACCGTTTCGGTACGAGGCTTCCGGTTCGGTACACATACAAACCGAACGATTCCTAGGACCATTTTTCCTGCAGACAAAATCCGCGCTGGCGCGATCACCACAACGTTGCGCAACATCAAATGGCAAACGTAATGAAAGCGGAACGAAACGGCGCTACTCATTATATTGTGCTTAACGGGCCATTTATCAGTTCGGACCAGCAACATCTGTGCAGCGCGAGATCAAGCGAAGAGATCCAGGGAAGAAAACATTTGAATTCGCCACTGAAGTATTAACATTGCTGCGAGATCTAGTGAGAAGCATTCACATTTCTCCGTTATTAACCGTAGATCTCTATTAGATCAAACAGCGCTGACGTGGGAACCAGGAGAAACATTGTGCCGTGAATGAACATGGATTTAATGTTGCACTTCAAAACTCAAATATTATATAAATATATATTTAAATGTTATTTTTAATGTGATTACCAAAACATTATTTGTTCATCCTTCAAAGATTACCCCCATTTATAAACCTGAAAGTTTCAAGATGTAGGAAAACTCAAACTTATTTAAAAATAGTTTTTCTTTTAATAAATAGGAAATTTCTATGGCATTTCTTTCTTTTTGCTGTATCGTATCGAACCGCAAACTTTGTGAATGGTTACACCCCTAATGTATATATATTCTCATTTTTTTTTTTTATACACTTTTAAAACATTTTTATTTTTTGTTTACATGCCTGCCGGCTATTTTAAGTTGAGGCGCTATTTGTTTTTATATTAGACTTTTTCTATATTCTATATTTACTGTTGCACTAAAGTCCAAAAGTGAAGATGTTATGTTATTTATTACTTGATTGTTCAAGCTACCTCACAGAAGTGCTCTGTTAACAGAGTTGTTGAATGTTAAAATAAGGTGAATTAAATAAAAAATAAGGAACATCCTGGATCTGTTTTTTCTCTCTTCTTTATTCTTTTTTTTTATGTATTATATAAGTATCAGATCGGGACTCGGTATCGGTAGATACTCAAAATCAAATGACTCGGACTCGAGGGCAAAAAAACCTGATCGGGACATCCCTAAATTTGATTAGATTTATTCTATGATTTTGTATTTTGAATGAAATTTTTGTAAGAAATACCTGGATTTTAGAATGTAGTTTTGCAATATGAGATTTTAGATTAGTAATTTGTATATTTTAAATTTGACCCTTTTAAAAGTTTGTCGGTTTTGAATTGTTGGTCTATTTAATAAAAATGTTTTGTTGTAATAATTCAGTGTTTTAATGACAGTTCAATCATGCCAGCTCTCTGAATAGTTGTAGCATGTTATTGAGTAATGGTAATGTTAATGTATTTGGTCTTGGAGGACTAGATCTGTAACTGTTGATATTTGCTGCTGCTGCAGAGTAAATATGGGCAAGTGTGGGAATCGATACTGAAATATCTATACGGTTATTATACTCAATTTATGCTGTATGGATACGATACCAGCTGCTCTTTCTTGCTCTCTTCTCTCTGACAGCGAGTTGACACACACCTGCCTCTCGTGTCATTCACTCTGGTTGAATAATGCTGGTGTTATGCTGGTTTGCCGTGGGATTGTGGAGATTGCGCATAATTTTACACACTCTGCGTGTGAGACCGCACATAAAGCCGCCTCTCAAACAGCTCGCGAGAACCATATTAAGCTCTTTTTCACGGCTTATTGCGCTTAAATGGTCAATTACACACAATTGACAAAATGCCCGTCTTGGCAAGTATTCACACAAACACAGTCGGTTTGTCTTTAGTAAACGATGTAAACAGTTGAGAAGGAAAACATGTCTATCAATTTAGATCAGTGCAGGAGCTCTTAAAGTGACAGCAATCTAATATACCTGTTGCTGTCTGTGTCATTAATGTTAATCAATCAACAAAAGACAAAAAGAAAATCCCTCACTGCTCTTAACTGAATAACTGTAATTTTAATTGTAAGGATTAATCTGTATTTAATTTTTACATTGAAGACCTATTCAATTGCTGTAGTATTTCTTACCTGAATACTACTGTTAGTCCTACCTGAAAAAATGAGCACGGTTTATTTCATTTGTGTCTTTATTCTATTCTATTTATTTGTGCTATCATTTGTAATTTGTTTATTTGTTCTTATTTTATTACTGACTGTTTACATTTCCAAAGTATGAAATCAAGCTCCTTGCAACAAAATTCCCCCGTTGTAAAAACACAAATACATTGAGTGAGCAAACATTTAGGAGAGATAATTGTAAGGGTAATTGATCTATGTTTATATGTGAATAAATTAAAATCTATGTAATGCGATAATGTCTCTTCATAAAACTTGGATTAAACCGCTCCATTCATTACTGTTACGATGTAAAACTAAAAGCTTGAAAATATTGATTACCTAGACTTTCAGTGGATGGACAAAAAATGATGAGATCATTTGAAAATGGTATCATATTGATATTTTTCAAGGTATTGTATCGAAATGAGACATTCCAGTATTGTGATAACACTACGCTTGCAGACCGCATGTAAAGGACCTCTCAGCCTGCGCTCTATAATACAGTTTCATGACTGAACTAGATATGTGTCTGTATAATGCTGACAGGTCAAAAGACTTGTTTACCTCATGTTACCCACTCACAAACGTTCTATTTGTATCTCTTTACAGTGTCCCGCAAACGCAAGAAGAAGAACTGGGAAGATGAAGATTTTTATGACAGTGATGATGACACATTCCTTGACCGGACAGGAGTGGTGGAGAAGAAGAGGAAGGAGCGCATGAAGAAGGCCGGAAAGATTCAGGAGCGTCCTGATACGTATGAATCGCTGGTAAAGAGTATTTCTTCTGTGATTATTATTACCCATTAGGGGTGGAACGGTACACAGAAGTCACGGTTCGGTTCATACCTCGGTTCAGACATCACGGTTCGGTACGATTTCGGTACAATGGAGGGAAAAGCAAAACAAAAATGCAGAAGGCATTGTATTTTTTAAATAAGTTTTATTAATAAAGGCATAGAACCAGTTTATTTGTAGTGCACTGACAATAGTTTTATATAATTAGTTTATTAATTAAATTAATAAAAAGACAAAAAGACCTTGCGATATGTTTGGTAATTGTACCTGAATTAATTTAAAATTATTTTGCTATATTTCAGATCAATCTATTTGTTTTCCTTAATTTTAATTAACATTATTAATTAACAATGTAACATTATTCTCATCTGAATTATAAATAATTGATTTCTGTATAAAATAATACTACCATTAAAAACACATTCGATTTTCTTTTTTAATCAATGTAGAACGTGTAAGATTAGTGCTCTGAGGACAAGAAATGAAAACCAATGCAATATGATGAATGTCCAAAAGATGGAATCCACAGACTGTTTTGAAATGGAGTTGGATAAATATGTTTTCCAGTGTGTGTGTGTGTGTGATTTTGGTTGGGTGACAGTTGTAGGTTACAGTTTGACAAGAGTTTACAGTGTGACAAAAGCACAATGTTGTGTATTATTGCGAGTGTACACAAATATAAGTAAACACTTTGCAGGTTTAATGATCTGAATGAACAAAATGACGGAGTATGTTTTTTATGTTTCCACTGTTCGATCGCGCCCGCGCCTCTCTCTCTCTCTCTCTCTCTCTCTCTCTCTCTCTCTCTCTCTCTCTCTCTCACACACACACACACACTCCAGCATTGCAATCTTGACATCGCAGCCTGTTCATTATGCGGTCACACCAAACACGAATAGAGCGTCAAATTCACGTCTATGGCGTCTAGTTCGACGCTAGTCCAAAGCGAATAGGACGCGCGTATAAAGCCAACGTTTGAAGTGAACGCGCGTTCAGAGCTAAGCCGATGGTACAGATTATGTGTCCCTAAAGAACCCGCGTATCTAACAGTAGTTCCGCATTACATTAATTAATTTGCACGCGAGTTTTATTTATTTTTATACCGTGTATTCTCCGTGTAAATTCGTGCACCGAACCGTGACGCCCGTACCGTTTCGGTTCATTACGAATACATGTACCGTTCCACCCCATTACCCATGTCCTGTGTGTGCTGTACCTGGTATTGATGTAATATGTATTCTTTCTTAGCTAGCCAAACTGGCCAAGGTTGAAAAAGAGCTGGCTGACACTGAGAAAAGGCTCAGTTCTTCTGGGAAAGGTGAGGTGGTGAAAGTCTGTTTTTCCTCCATATTTCGTCATGTGTGAGGTTACACTTCCTGTGTTTGTTGTCCTCGTTCAGGAGGCTCCAGCTCTTCCACAGAGGATTCTCTGGATGCTTTCATGAGCGCAGTCCGGAGTGAGGTGGCTCTGGATGGGGTGGAGAGGAAGAAGCTTCATTTACACGTAGCTGAGCTGAAGAAGGAAGGTCAGAGACTGCGCAAGCTAGCGGATCTGGCTAAACCGACCCAGATGCCCTCATTACAGCCCGGCGGGTGAGCTGTGTTCCCTCCAGATCATCTGCGCATTTCAATATCTACTATGTATTCGGACACGCTACTCTGTTGGCGTACTGTTTTTCGCATACTATATAGTAGGGAAGTATTGTATTTCTGGCGCAGCGATAGTGTTCCTATAATTATCTGTGTGGAAGTTTTGTGTGTTTTGTAGGGCCCTTTTATTTCCGCAAAAAACGGCAATGGAATCGCAGAATCCAGTCATAATTTAATTTACTGTATAACTCAGAATGTCTCAAAATTTGGATAAAGAAATCAAAAGTAGTGCTGTATGCTTAACCAAATCGCAATATGGACTAGTGTCTGAATCAAAAGTGTCTGTTCTCATAGTAAATGAGCGGCACCGTTTCGTCAACCACACGTTTAACTGTCTAACTACAAGAGGACACTCCACAACGTGACAACAAGAGCTGCTCAGAGTTCACTTCACAAGCGTTTCATTTGATACAACTATTGTCAAAATACACGGAAACTCAAAGGTCTTCACTTCAACCCAACAAAATAAAAGTTTGTTTTAACTTGATGAAAATCCTGAAAGAGATATATTACTTTTTTACAGCAGAATGTACATCTCAAAGTGATAATAACAATAAAAGATTTAAAAGATTAATTAAATTGTTCGTTTATTCATGTATGGGATTGCCACTGTTTTTGTTAATACATTTGTATTATATCAAAACAAAAGAATCCAGAAAAATTAAAACAGACAAAGAATTTCTGGAGAAAATAGAAGGAAAACACTTTTCAGAGGGCAGTAGTATTGTTCATTTTAATTGATTACACATCCTTTAATTAAACCGTTAATACGGAAAAATTAAAACGTAACATTTTTAATAGCATAACAAAAAAACACGTAATTTGAGGAAAAATCAAACTGATTTCATAGGGCCCCAAATGTGTGAATATTTTTATTTATTTTATAATTTTTTTTACAGTAGTCAGTCCACGGACTCTGAGAAACCGAAGAAGTTATCTCTACCTATGTTTGGAGCCATGAAAGGAGGGAATAAATTCAAACTGAAGACTGGAACAATAGGAGTGAGTCTTTCCAAATTGAAAAAAACAATAGATGGGCAATTACCTTCAAATGAGTCAAATGACTTAAATGTGACACACTCTCTCTCTTTCTCTCTCCCTCCCTAAATGAGCAGACTTTACCCCCAAAGCGAGCCAATCTGCCTCCTGAGCTCTTCAATATGAAGGAACTGCCCCCTGGTGGTGAGAAAGAGGAAGAAGAAGAAGAGGAGGAGGAAGAAAACAACAAGACTGAGGCTGGTATCACAGATGGTGTCATGGAGGTTATTCAGTCTGCAGAGACGGCCAGCTCAGACAGCGCACACCACACTAATGGTTAGACCTTGACCAACGTAACTTCCCTCTGCCTTAACACTGGGTACTTAGGAATGTGCTCGAAATTTCTAAATTACTAATGCTAGATTCGCAGTGTAGAGTGTATAGTGTAATTCTATATCTGACCACAAGTAGGCAGTGTTATGTTACTCAAAATGAGTTAAATGTGTGTTATTTGTTGTCTACCTTTAAGATTTGTTCACATAATTTAACTCAACTAACACATTGGACAAAATCTAAGTTAACCTGTAATCCATAGGTTCATAGCTAATATGTATTTACTAAAATATTTCTATTTGTGTGTCTAGAGAAAGAAGACCATGAGGACCAGCCTGCTAAGAAAGTTACATTTCATGTAAAAGAAAAAAACAAGTCATCCAATCTTCAAAAAAACAAAAGTGACTCTGCTCCAAAAGGTAGAAAATAACACATAAATGTGAAGCTTCTTCCATTGGTCCATTGATTGCAGTTGCATTTGGTGCTTCTAAGTTCACCTTTAAGTGAATAATAATGGTTGACAGTTATCTGATCCACTAAATTATGATTCATATCCCAGCAGAAGGAGTAGACCATGATGTATCAAATGATCAGAGTACAAAGACAAGTACAAAGAAGAAAGCTATTGGCCCAAGCAGGGTAAGTATTTATGTAGATGACTCAACTCAAGACATAAGATATGCATCCAAAGATTATTTAAAGGTAGGGTATGTAGAAATGTATGTAGCTGTGTTTATTACAGCCCTGAGAGCACTACAGACACTCGATTTTTATAATTTATTTTCCAGAGTACTTAGATTTTAATTATGCATTGATATATAAAGACAGCATAAACAAATGTGGAAAAAATTTTTGGGGGAAATTTCTACATACCCTACCTTTAACTAAAGTGATAAATAAACCATAAAAGGTTTGTACCTACAGTGGCCCCAAAATATCAAAGTGGCATTTATTTTCAAAGAAACAAACAGAAGAACACTTTTCAAGCCAAACATTTTACAAAAAATATTAGATATTAACTCATAAAACTACTAATATACTGTTATAAATGAAGAAAAAAAGCATTTGAACATGTTAATTTTGTCAGACAAGATGTTCATGGTTAATATTATTAATTATGTGGTCACTATGCAAGCTAGAATAGCTTTTGAACTTTATATTCTTTGAAGAATCCTGAAAAAAGAAATGTATATGGTTTCAACAAAAACATTAAAGGGGTCATATAATGCCATTTTTGTACAAGTTAATATGATTCTTTAGGGTCTAAATTAAAAGTTTGTAATATACTGTAATTAAAAATTCTCATTAGTATTGTAAGAAAACAGTTATTTTACCTGGTCAAAAACAGCTCTGTTTTCAGCACGCCGTTTCAGTGCATATAACTTTAAATGATAATGAGCTTTGCTCACCCCGCCTCTCTGTTCTGTGTGTACACCGTTTGTAACACAATAACCATAACGCGTTGTTCATTATAAACGTGGGATTATGAATTATATTGAGAACGTCGTACATAGAAAACATGCCGTAATGTACCCTAAGTGTAAATCTTAGACGCATTCATTGTGAAGCGTGCAGCTAGCGATTTGCAAAGATATAAATATTAATATAAAGGTTCATAAAACGTTACACTCACTTCAGTTGTTCTAGAGGTTCAGCAGGAACACGAATAGCTGGTACCGATCCTTTATTCAGGAAGCTTCTTAGCAAAACCAGCTTTATACTGACCCTCCTTATAAAGCAGTCTGGTGAGAAATGATTCGCGCAAACATGAGAGCATTGACGTTGCTCGTGGGGAATATTCCCTTCGAAAACAAACTCAGCCACTGCGTCTTCAGCGGTTCGGATTTAGGAACATTAAAATGACTGTGTTCGTTATTACACCCAAGAACAGAACACCACAATCGCTTAGACGCCATTCTGCTCATAGACAGTGCTCCAGCATATCACCAATGACCGCGCCGCGCAGACTATGATTGACAGCTGGCTCACGAGCGAGAGCGGTTCTGTGTTGAAACGCTGCTGTCATTCAACAATCGTGGGAGGGGCTTCCGAGCGTGTGACGTCACATGGTCGAACGGCTCGATTTGAGGCAGGGGAAAACATATAAGGAGATTAAAACAAAAACACTGGATGGATTTTTATCATTATATGATGGTTGTGTACAGACACTGCCAACACACATTTCAGTACAATCAACTTGAAAAAGTGCATGTACCATTATATGACCCCTTTAAGAACAACTGTTTTGCTAAAAACAAGAAATGTTTCCTGAGCAGCCAAATCATCATATTATAATGATTTCTGAAGGATCATGTGACACTAAAGACTGGAGTAATGATGCTGAAAATTCAGCTTTGCGTCACTTGAATAAATTACACTTTAAAAAATATATTAATATAGAAAACTGTTTATATATATATATATATATATATATATATTACTGATTTAACATGATCCCTGCTAGCTGGAACATCTGTGTGAACATTAAGTGTGCAAATACTTTTTGGATCCACTGTATGGCTGAGTCTGAACTTGTAAAAACTGTCTGTAGCTTACAGTAGCTATGTTTCCATCCACCTATTTTTATGCGCATTTTGGGATATCGCAAAAAAATTTTTTGGGTTTGATCGTTCTGAAATGCCCGAGTCAAAGCCCGAGACTGTCATCAGAATGATTTGCCATAATGACGTTCATAAACACCAACATCTGAACGCTAGAGAACACGACAGCGTTTATTGCTTTTCTTCTGCCGCTCTGAGACGCAAGTCATTTATGATGGAGGAAAAGAGAGCCACAGTTTCTTCCCGATCGCAGCAACTTCCTTTTTATTTTTACAAATATTTTGCGACAATTTCCCAAGAAGTGACGATTTTGTTCTCTTGAACACATGGGAAGGAAACGCTGCTCCAATTGTGTCCATAAGTTGAATTCACAACATTGGATTAAAAGGTGTTTTTCTTGTGCCCTGATATTTCTATATGTCTAGCCTCCTGTGACCATGTCCAAGCAGTACCCAGAGGACGACCCTGACTACTGCGTGTGGCTTCCTCCATCAGGTACAAAGCTTCCCTTCTTCATCCCTGTAGGCTGTGATATCATTAAGTCATATGAAACCATACATAGAAATCAAGAAAATCAAGCATTCTTTAATCTCAATTTACAGGCACTCGCTGAATACTAAATTATGTTCAGCGATTATTAGCTTTTTTGATCTTAGGACATTTCAAACACAGTTCTAACATTTCAGAGGATTAGAGACTTTGCATTGTGGGAAAACACATTAATACCTGGCCAAAGAGTTTACTTTAAAGTCACAGGGTTATTACAAGATAAGGTTCTCTTTATTTCTTCAATAAAATGTATTTCCAGTGTCTGTCAGAATCCCCTTTTATTCAGCAAGGACACATACATTTCTTTCTTTTTTTTAAAGGGACCGTACAATATCCTTTGTTATATTCCATTATCGTTTGTGTGTGAATCCTTTGTTGTTGACAGAATATTATAATAATATTAGAATATTACATTTTATTTACATTTTCAGAATGTCAATAGGAAAAATTTCAGATTCTGAAAATCTGAAATTTATCTATTTACATTCTTGATAAATGTCCCTAATGGATAGAAATAAGGGTAACACTTTACAATATAAGGTTCATTAGCTAACGAATTAATTAACATTTAACTAATAATGAGCTATACATTTTCTTTACAGCATTTATTCATCTTTGATCATCTTAGTTAATAAAAATACAGCTGTTCACTGTTAGTTCATGTTAGATCAGGTCCATTAAATAATATAATCTATTGTAAATGTTAAAATTAACATCAATTAATATTAATGAATACAATTGCATTGTTAGATCATGTTAACGAATATACAGGTAACAAATGTTAACAAAATAACCTTATTGTAAAGCAAATACAGTCCTGTCCTACATTAGTTTGCTTTAAATTATGAAAGTTAAATGCATTGCAAATGCCATTTCATTTGGCCAGTGGTGGAGGAAGTACTGAATCTCAGTACTTAAAGGAACACTCCGACTTTTTGGGACTTTAGCCTATTCACCTTATCCCCCAGAGTTAGATAAGTTCATACATACCTTTTTCATCTCCGTGCGTGCTATAAGTCTGTTTGACGCACCCACCGCTAGCCTAGCTTAGCACAAAGACTGGATGTAAAAGGCGAAGGCGAAGCACTGCTACTTGGGCGGAGTGATAACCGCAGCACCTGAGACGTGCCGTGGTGAGGAGCAGAGAGTTCGTTCAGAGTTTGGGTACGGTACGTCTCAGGTGCTGCGGTTATCACTCCGCCCAAGTAGCAGTGCTTCGCCTTCAGAGAATATAGTTCCCAGTATTTATACGGTTAAAATATGTCTGTGTCTCATGTGACTTTGTTTTTTGTACACTCTGTGACTATACAAATCACAACATGTAAATAGGAAAATGTTTGCGTTATTTTGTCACTTATTTGGATTAGTATGCTAGCTGCAACCATTTACATCCAGTCTTTGTGCTAAGCTAGGCTAGCGGTGGGTGCGTCAAACAGACTTACAGCACGCACGGAGATGACAAAGGTATGTATGAACTTATCTAACTCTGGGGGATAAGGTGAATAGGCTAAAGTCCCAAAAAGTCGGAGTGTTCCTTTAAGTAAAAGTACATATAACCAGAGACATATTCACTTTAGTGAAAGTAGAACTATCACAATGACAACCCTACTTAAGTAATAAGTAAAAAGTACCTGATTTTAAATGTACTTTAAGTTTTAAAAGTAAAAGTACTTGCATAACAATTTATTCTCTTAATGTCTATATTCTAATGATTAATAAAATAGTTAATTCTAACTCATTCAACCTAATACTCCTATTATGATGTTCAATAATGATGGAAAAGCCGTTATTTTTAAAGTTTTTGTCACCATTTCTGAACAAGCTTGCAATTAGGCAATATACATCACATCAAGCTTAATGTGACGGGGTTTGGCGGAAACGCGATTCATTTATGGCGTAATTCTGAACCTCTTGGCTTGCCATACTAATCCTAACCAAACGTAGAATACACACGCACCCCACACCACTACTAAATCTACCCTAACCTACCCATGCGTATCCTATGCACATAAAAAACAAATTTCCGTGTATAAATTGCACGATAAACACACACTGCGTGCTATAGAGACGCATTTAGTGTGACCGGGTTGATATGGCAACCAAACTTCACTGGTGAGACAGAAACGTGCGACGAACGGACGGTCAGGATGACGTTTTGGCAGGGGAAAAATTATCAGAAAATGTAACAGAACGTTGTAGAAATGTAGTGGAGTAGAAAGTATAATAATTGCTGCAAAATGTAACGAAGTAAAAGTAATAAGTATGCACTATTGATTCTACTTAAGTAAAGTAAAGTAAAGATATGTGAAAAATGTACTTAAGTTAAGTAACAAAGTATTTGTACTTCGTTACATTCCACCACTGTTCATTTCAATGACTAGACATTTAAGACATGATTGTGTCTGTGTTGAACAGGTCAGACTGGCGACGGGCAGACACATCTGAACGAGAAGTACGGATACTAAATACAGAGTGAAGACTTCCTCACTAAAATGGAATCAGCCCAACCGTTCATCTTAGTCTTTGGGAGTGGGCAGATCGATCATTTTCTCTCTGTGTCCTTTCTCCCAACTTTATACTTCATCTGCAAACAGGGAACGTTGTGACTCGAGTGGCTCAGATGAGCTGAGATGTTTCTAGCACTTTGTAATGGAAACAGCTTAGCCTTGTGACGGATTTTCACTTCCCTTCGCCCAATTTTCATTCAAATGCAATCGTTTTCCACGCGTGCTTTGGGGCCCAAGTTGCCCAGTATAGTTTTGAAGTGGAGACTGCTTAAGGTTTGGGGAAGGATCTGTTTTCATAGGCACTTACTGACTGGTTCTTCTCCACGCTAGCATGACAAACTATTTTAGTGGTCTAGAAAATGAATCGTTTCTCTGCTTTACCAGTTGGAATATATTGGTTTTGACATTGCATTTGCTTCAAATGCATCATGCCAGTCACTTATGTTTAAGCACTGCTGTTGTTGACAAATCTCTCTCCACGGCTTGCTGTTCTGGGATCATTTCACCAGCCTTAAGCGAGCTCGGTAAACACTCGATCCGCCGTTCTGGGTCACTCTCTGAGTAACGGCGGACTCCCTCTTCAGTTTGGCTCCGTATGGCGAGCGAGCGCTCCTGTTGGATGCGGTTCTGTTGAGAGAGAGCCGGCTTTACCAGCCATCTGGACACTTGCTTGGCATTCTAGGATTGGGAGCAAGCTGTTAATGAATCAGTCTGTGTGTGTGATTTGTGTGTGTGTATTCGCTTCTCTTGATATTAATGAAGAGTGACTCAGTGTTGGTGATGTGTTGGCGTGTCCAAGGAAGGATTAGGCCCCCCACGTTCGCTACTACGTGCTGGTCTCTCCCTCGGTTTATCCAACTCTTTTAATGCTCTTGAGTTCTCCATTGTTTGAAAAGCATGGTTAGTCGCATACAATATGTGTATTTTGTTACGTATATTTTGTAAAATAAACAATTTTTCCTGTGTCTCGCCAACATGGGGGCTTGTGTTGAATGTTTGGGTCATAAAGTTGTAATCAAGTAAATGATCATCATGATCAACTTTTACACAATCTGCTACATGCCTTCTGGAATCTGATTGATAGTTTATACATTTTTAGCAAGTAAAAGGCCTTTTAGTATGATTCGAAACACGTGGTATTCAGGGCTTGACATTAACTCTTTTGCTCCGCAGCCACTGTGGCGAGTGGTTTTCCAAAGTTACTAGCCACTCAGCATTTTCACTGGCCACAAATTTGACATCAATACCATTGGGAAAGACTGCCATATAGGTATTTTTAATAATATCTTATAATTTGGCAGCAGGCGTATTAGGCTGCTGTCACTTTAAAACAGTCTGACACTGATCCATTATACCAATTTTATTCTCAACGTTTACATTCTCTTAAAACATAACCGACTGTGTTTACATGAATACTCACCAAGACTGGCATTTTGACGTTATTTTGTGTGTATTTGACTGTTTAAGCGTACTAATCAATGAAATAAACTCAATTTAACACTGAGAGGTGGCTTTATGTGCGTGCACTTTGGGTGTTTGAGCATAATCTGTGAGAATGAGTAAAATTGTCGGAGAGATGAGAGAGTGAAAAAGCGCTGCTGGTGTCGTATATCTAATCTGCAGAAAATGAGTATTAGAAGCGTTTCAGATATTTCAGTGTCAATATGTATCGCATAAATCAATATTTTTGACAACAGTAAATTGCACTTAGTTTATTATTTTAGATGCCTTTTTAAAGAACTACAATTGAGAAATGCATTTTAAATTCTAACTCGCCAAAGTGGCTAGTAGTAGGAGTGACTTGGTTACACGCCACTGCTGAAATCCATCCGCATTTATTGTCAATCCCTGATTGTTAGTAATATTTCAAGATGAACACTTACTGGACAGAAGCAACTTAGGTTTGCTTGATTATCCATACAAATGTTTTTAGAAAAATCAAATGTGAGTATCAAAGTTGATGCATCTTTTGTTTATTTGTGCATTTTATAAGATCTCATTGATTTACATCACATGATATCAGAATTTCATCTTACTTTTTGGCCATATCATTTTCAGCAACTACACCAAATTGCATGTTTTGGCTCAGTTTGGGCCTCGAATAAAATGTTGTTGTTTTTTTCTCTCTTCGAGTGTGAGCTCCATATTCTCATTCTTATATCATATATAAGCCAAAAGCCTAATGTAGCAAATATGATACTCAACATTTTTTTTTTAGATCATTGAAGAGTTCACTAAACTGTTTCTGTTTATTTTTTCATATGCCAGGCTTTACAGGGTTAATCTGTTCAAGGCATGTTCAGGCATGTCTCTGGTTACACTCACTGGAAAATGATCAAGCACCAAACCCCCCAAAATACTGATGAACTGTTTCTGTTCACATTTTTAAAATATTATTGATAATCTTTTTAAGTAATGTTAAAGGTTCAATAAAAGTTATGCTTACCAAAATAAAATAGACAGTGGCTATTTGCACTAAGTGCAAATAGAATCCATCGCTATTTAGTTTTTGTTACCGCTATTTACACTAAGTGAAAATGGCAGTATTTTAAATAGTAGATGCTATATATGTAGTACAAATATTGACAGATACTGTTTGCACCTCTGTGTAGTGTAATATTATTATAAAACAGTATGTAGTAATATATTCAGTAGGCCTATATGATCTATTACTTCTGTTACAGACTGAATATATATTTATTAAAATCTTTAACGGATGCTGTTTTATTGGGAACATATTTGTCTTAACAAATAAGTTATTTGTCTTAACCCTACACTTTAAACACTTTAGTGTTTAAGTCCCAATGCAAAATACATGTTAGGCTATTTATTTCCACTTTTTGTATATTTTCTCCTAGCTGATATGCGATGGGAAAAGAACAAGTTTGGAAAAAGGTAGATTCAACCTCGGGTCAGTCGCATCAAAAGCAAAGCGCCTGACTCCACACACCACAGCACAGTTCTTTCATAACTTTATCTGGCTCGATCAGACAATGCTGGGCGGATTTAATGAAAATAGCATCCGCAGGTTATTTGCACTTGAAATAGACACTCCGATAAAATAAAATAAATAACTTTCGACTCGACATTCTGGAGGGTGTTGAGAAGAAATGCAATATTTGTTAAAGCACTTATAATAAATCTTCTGTACAAAAATGTGTGATTTGAGATATTAAACAAATTACAACCAGATGAACTTCCAGTTATCACTGTAATTCGTGTAGGTGGAGTGGCACCATGTTAGCAGTGCTTTGTGGAGAGTCACGTCACATAAGCTTGTGGAGAAAATGTACCAGGTTAAACCAGCGTGGTCCTGACATGAGTTCAAAGATTGCATTGTGTGCACACAAATAAAATATGAAATACAAAACGAAACATTTCCTTAGGCCGTGCTGCTTACAACATATATCGCTGTATGGGCAGACAAAGTTATAAAGCATTTTATCACACTATATTTAAAGAGGTTTAAAGGTTGTAGCTATACTTGTAAAACTGTCTTTTAATGTTTATCCCTGTGCAATTCCTACCTTCAAGTCATGATAGTGCCATACACTATTTCATTTTGACTCCTTTTTGCAACACAACTGCTTTAGATCACTTTGCACAAGCTAGGTTTCACAAATTGCTAATCAACTGAATGCATTCCTAACTCTAAACGGAGTGTGTACATTCTGCGTATCCTACAGGAAACTGCGTTTGATAGGCATCAGATTGAGCCGTATTATTGTAGAGTATCTTCTGATCAGGCCGCACACACCCATCTTGATGTCTCGATTCCTGGCTCACTTCCTTCAGCCCCTCGTCGTAGCCGAGCACTGACGTCACTCTCTGGTTCCCTGTACACACCTTTTTTTACAGTCTATGGTACACACACACACACTCAACTTATTGCTCTGTTTGGGATCTAGCACGGATAGGCCTGTGGAATCAGCCCACGCTGAAATGAGAATGCTTCTTTATGGTGGATAAGGAACCTGCAATGTTGACAGACTTGCTTATCGCAACACACACATGCAAACACAGCAAAAAATGACACAAACACCTTGCCGTAGAGCTTCGGCTGTGTGTGAATATGGTTCGCAGCACTTGTGAACACGTGAGCTTTGTTTGAAATCGCCCCCTATGACCTCATTCACTATTTCCTACATTACTCCACTAATATAGTCCACTTGAAGGAGTGAACTCGTCGATAACGTCCACTATGGTTTCGGACGCCACTACAAATGGCTGTCCCATCAAATAGGGCCCTATTTAAGGGATAGCACAAGTCTATTTCATGTGATGTTTACATCTGGAAGACGTATTTTTAAGAGTGTTTGCTCATCTGCAATACGTCTATAGGACGTTTCCTGTCAGATGTCAACTAGACGTTTAGAAGATGTCTTTAAGATGTAATGATTTAGAATGCATGTTAAACTGACATCATCTAAACGTCTATTTGATATCTGACAGGAAACGTCCTATAGACGTATTGCAGATGAGCAAACACTCTTAAAAATACGTCTTCCAGATGTAAACATCACATCAAATAGACTTGTGCTATCTGGGGGACGATTTCGGTCACAGCAGATGGAAATAGAAAAATGATGTCATCTGAGCATGCAAGTGCAATGCTTTATGCTGTTGTTTTGACAAATTGAAAACACTGATATTTTTTAATTTATGACAATTAAATCCCTCAGTTCTCGCCATCTCTGAAAAGCCAATCAAATGTTGATTCTTGTTTTATTATGATATCGGTCACGCTCTGTTTTCGCCAGGAGACTCTCCTCTGTTCGGCGGCTTGTTTTAAACGTGCGATTCCCCGGAGGTTCGTGATTTAGCTGATCCATGTCAAACTTTCTTCACAACTAACTAGAGATGCACCGATTGATCGGCTGGTGACCGGAATTGGCCGATTTTCACGTGATCAGCCATGACCCGCGACCGGCCGGTCAGTCTGACATATGCCAATTTTATGCCGGTCAAAATACACTCGGGCGCCGCATGATTAACATGCGCAACATCAGCATCACACGTGCACATGTAGGAAACCTTGTGAATTACGGCCGTTTCACACCGCAAGCGTGAGCGGCGCGCATTAATTTCGGCGTGCGTGTTAATCAACGAGTGCATTCACACCGGGAGCAGGAGCGGCGCGTGAGCAGCGGTGAAGCGGGTTCGGCACCCGAGTCTATTTTTGCTGCGCTGCTCACGCTCAATTAAAGTGAACGCACACTTTTGATGGACAAAATAAATATGATTTCACACAAAAAGTGCACAGAATGTGCATGTCTAGTGTGTTTTAACAAGAACTGGATTAGGCTATGTCAGAAATTAAAATGAAGACTCTTTATAGAAAATATTTATAGAAAATGTACCCATTTAAACTTGTTTTTATTATTCAGTTTGGGTAAAAGTATATGGTGTTTTATTAATAAAAAAATATATAGAAAATAAATATTTGTGTTATTGAAAATAAAAAAGTGGTTAGAAAAAATAAAATCGGAATCGGCTAAAATCGGTATCGGCAGGTCAAACTCAATGGAAATCGGATTCGGCCTAGAAAATTGGAATCGGTGCATCTCTATAACTAACCTTTTAACAAAATTTTCTCTATTTACGGATATGACATGACACACAAGGTAGAGTGATGCATGTACGCAATTTCCTGCAAAAACCATCCTGACAGATCTTAAATATAAACACTCTCCCATAGTGAATCAGGGTAAGACAAAAACACAAATGATGATGTATTGAATCATTATTTAGTTCATTTTGTACAAAAAAGTTAGTGTACCTTTAAATCAAAAGTAACAAATTTATTTTTAAAAAAGGCTGCAAAATTAATCAAAATAAATCTGAAATCGCAGTATAGATCAGTGCGATTCTCAAATCATAGGCTGCGAAGTCAGTTTAATATAATTTACATTTAAGAAATGTAATAAAAATTTAAGGCAGCTGCAACAGATCTTAGTTGAAATAGCTGGATTTTTTTTTTTTTTTTTTTTACCATGTAAAAGCAGGGGGTACTTCAAGTAAATATTTGACATCGTTTGGCTGACAAAAGGCCTGTGTTCTGGTATTCTAGAATCTCAAGAAGCTCCTAAGGATATGTCAACAACTGTCTCAACTCCTCTAGGGAACACTGGGGGCACAGGTTGGGGTAATTACCCCAAAAAGTGACAACATCTGTTCTACACATGCCTGTAAGAGCTTCACCAAACATACTTTGCAATAAGAAAAAGCATTTGAAGTGAATTAACAAGACACAAACTGGGAAGAAACGTTTATTCGCCTCATTTGAGGCATAGAGACAGAAAAGGACAACTTGTCACGTTGCAAGCATGTACTGTACTATATGTCCATATAGCTGTAATTTAAAAAATATTGTATTTGTTTCAGATAGATACACATAACACCTAGGTGAAACTTTTGCAACAACTATGAATAATTGTCCTTATTGATCACCCGCCGGTTGGCCTAGCTTATTGACCCTTACACGGGTTACAACTGCAGTTTACATTCAGGAAAAAGTATTAAAGTATGCCGCTAAGTACATTACATCCACCGTCAAAATCCTCAGAAGGATTGTTTCTGAAATATACTGCATGGATAGGATTGGTGTTGTCCATATTTAAAATGAGTCCTGTAATGTTCTACACGTCAGAAGAATAACACATAGGCTATGTTCGGAATAGCAAACTAGCATACTCGTGTTACTATTTCTACAGTATGTTGTATTTCTGGAGAATACTACTGTATATCCCACAGTACACTGTTCAACTTGACCTTTCATTTCAAGTTTCATAAATGAACTAGAAGACATTTTGTTTTGTTTTTTAAATTAATTAATGCGAACAAACATTCCAAAATAAACAACATACCTTTTGAAACATTTATTGCAAATATAATGTATCCTGTTTCACATTCTGTATCCTATTTTTTTTAAATAGTAAACAGTATACAGTGTGTATTTTGCAGTATGCTAATATTTTATTCTGAACAACAACTGTGTGATAAGGGCTATGATTTAATCCCTGGTGTGTGTTCAAACAGTGTCAAAACATTCATAAACTAGATATTGATGGTAAAAGTCATTGTATTTAGGTACATAGTACTGAGTATGCTACATAGTAAGGCGCATGTTTAATATATGATGTTGAAAGACTCTAGTATAGCGTTGTGTTGTTTCCCCCCCACCCCCTCCCGTTCTTCACTTAAGATGTAATTACTTTGGAATACACATCAGATAATCAGTAATGTGATTACTGACACATTGAAGCTGAACAATGGCTTGGAATGTCTAGCCTGTGCTATCATTATATCTGATTGTTAGTTTTCCGGTTTACCCTGGTTATAGAGCGAAAAGCTTCATTTTATTACAAACCGGTTTTATTAATTAAGGCCCATTCTGGCATCAAACTGATTGTCTCTCATTACATTTCCCTGTCTAAACAACCAAACTGCCTTAAACCGAAATTGTCTTGCATGTTACCTTCAACCCAGTGGTCTCAACACAACCATGTGGCCCAATCGTCAGACGTTATCAACAAACCGTTGACCAATCTCTGCACAGAACCCATCACAGAAACCAAACCACTTGGTTGTGGCATTATAGATAGCGCAGTGGTCATGGCCTTGTCATTAAAATAAGTTCTAATTGGGTTTTCCTGAGAGATGGAGAGGATGAGACGGCTAAAGGCGAAAGGTTGCGTCTCCTCATTCCTCTCATACATTCTGGCCCTGATCACATTTCCTGTTTTGTCCACAGGCCTTATCGCGGGGCCTTTGCCTCTTATTTTGCAGGATATTAGTGTGAACAATGCAAACATACATTGTCTTTATGTTGGGAATTTTTGGTCCACAAGTGATGTTTCGTCTCTGCAAAGGTCCAGTCATGCACACGGAGGTTCCTCAGCGGGGATCAGGGGACTGCAGGGAGGAGCGCTGCTCAGAGGCCGGAAGGCGAAGATGGATGGATCGTAGGAGTATCGGGGTGCGTGACGGCCGCCACTCAGGTTCTGTGAGGGAAAAACATTAACAAGAAAAAAAAGATGAAGTGGGAAGTAACTGGGTTTGGTTTATTAGTCAAGTCAAGTCACCTTTAATTCCATAGCGTTTTATACAACACAGATTATTTCAAAGCAGCCTCATTATTCAGCTCAAGTCAGTTTAGTGTTAGTGCACTTTTTTTCCAATAACTGTAAAATTCTAGCCTGGCTAGACCACATGTTCATTTTCTCGTATTTGAGGCGTGGTTTACGAATGCCCAGAGCCGTTTATTGGGTGCTACGAATGTCTATCAAATGCGCCTGTACGTAGCTCATAGCCAATCGTTTCAATTATACCAGATGACGTATGTAGAGCGACAGAAATTAGACAAGGAAGAAGACGATGGGTCAGAGATTTATTTGTACACGATGGCGTGTATCTAACGGCCGTTTCACACCGCATGCGTGAGCGACGCGTATTTTTTTCGGCGTGCATGTTAATCAATGAGTGCATTCACACCGGGAGCGTCGAGCAGGAGCGGCGCGTGAGCAGCGGTGAAGCGGGGGTTTCGGCGTCGAATCTGTTTTTGCTGCACTGCTCACACTCAATTAAAGTGAAAGCACACTTTTGATGGACAAAAATAAATAAGATTTCACACAAAAAGTGCCCAAAATGCACAGAATAAGCTTGTTTAGTGAGTTTTAACAAGAACTTGAGTTGGCAAATAAAAGAAAATAAAGATTTATAGAAGATTTAGGCTACCCGGTAAAAACTTGTTTTTAATTATTCAGTTTGGGTGAAAGTTGTGTATTATATATAAAAAAAAACTAAAGTAAACTAGCCAGAAAATATTATATATAAACGTTCTTTTAGTTTATGTAACACACAGACAGCTACATAAGTTAGCTAGCACAACCCAAATCAAACCCGAGTGTGTGGTTTATTTGTGTGTTTTGTTTTTTATCCGCGGAGTTGCAGTCTTGTAAACATATCGAATGACTGAAACTAATAGATTGGAGCCATTTTCTGGGTTGTTTTGTTGTTTAACATTTATATGCGAATGTTGTACACCTCCTCATAACAAACTTTCAAGACTATCAATGTTATAAATGACCAACTTCTAAAAGCAAATGTATAGTTGTCTTTGTAAAGAATTACTCGCTTATATATGTAGCTTTGGAGCCGCTGCTGTGACACAGTACAAACGCTTCCAGTGTGAATACTCTCGCGCAGCTGCAGTAAACGGTGTAGTTACGCTGACGCGCTGCTCAAGTGCCGCTCACGCTTGCGGCTAGAAACGGACGGCCGTAAGGCTGCATGGAAAGGTAACTTCGCGTCTGCTGCCATGTTTGATCCATAGGTATAAACAAACTGCTTCGGTGTGTCGCATAGACGTCGTCATCGTCTTGCTGCTGCCTCCCCGTTCTGTGATTGGTTCCCTAGATGAGGCGAAAATCTGGTCCATGGTATCCAGACTGCCTAGCAGCGTGAATAAAATCACGCTGCGGCAAGGCAGCATGGGGAAACCCAGGGTAGTAAAATTCAACAATTATGAAACAAGTTCAATTCAGCTACAAGCAGCTCGACAGAAGGCTTTAGTCTCATTATTAAGCTTGAGTTAGTTCAAGTCCCCCTCTGTCCGTTACACGACATAGAACTCATGTTTAAAGGTGCAGTAAGCTATTTCTGAGAAACGCTGTTGAAAATGGGTCGGATAAAGCAGCACAACACACTTGTAGCCAATCAGCAGTGGGGGGCGTGTTCACTCATGATGGGGGAGGAGAGAGAGTGAGATTTGAAGAAAGACTGTAGAAAGAGAGATGGCTGAGAGACATTACAAAAGAGAAAAGTTCAGAGGAATATCACTGGATAAAGAAGGGTTACGATCAGGCAAGAGCTTTAGGACCCGCGTTAATATTAGAAAAGCTTTCCAGCGCTGGACAAACCTAAGCGAGAAGGCCTGGAAACAGGCTAAAGTTGCGTTGTTTCTGCTCCATACGCGAGTAACATTGTTTTTAGTCGCCAACAGCAGTAGGCCACCAGCTCCAGACAAACAATAGGCGTGTTTCCATTACAGATTTGTGCAAAACTTTTTCGATATTTTCTAAATGTCGATAAAAAACTATTGCGAAATGACGGCGTTTCCATTAACTGATGTTATGCGACTAAAGTGTCTTTTTTTCCTCTCGCGATAAGTCATTCCAAAAATCATGGCAACGGACGTTGGTAGGTTTATAGATAGCCTAGCTATATCAGAGCCACCGCACTAGACATTATTATTATTAATGGAAGGAGACGTGGTGTGTTATCCAAGCATTAATGGCAGGGAATGACACGAAGTTCCTGGGTGTTTCTCCCTTGTTTTTGCTCCGAGGTCTTGATTGTGGCATTTCTTTGAGGTTTATAGTCCAGTATAGGCTATTCCTGTAATTATTGTTTCTTTTATGAATTTAATAAAGAACTCTGTCTCGTACGTCCAAACGGTCAGTGTAGGCTACTTTTGTGTCCATTCGTTTTCCCTTATTTAACCCGTAATTGCAAAACAAAAAAATGAACGGTTGTTGTATTTTTAAAACGCAAAATTGAACACCAAAATTTTAATTTGAACTGTAGGCTACACCAAATGCTGCGCAAAAAAATAAATATATATATATATATATATATCGACGAATTATCAGATATTAGTTTATGACTTTTTGCCCCTTTATTAAACATTTAAAATATTCACAAATTAATATGGAAAAAAATGTAGATTTTACTGGTTTTCAAAGGCCAAATTAGAACCTAGAAACTACATTTTTCCCGCAGTGCTGGAAAAGAGTTAGCCTATAGGCTATGGTAAATGTGTCTGAAAAAATAACGAGGCATTTTAATTGTTTAGTAATAAACTATTGTTTTCCTAAATCAGTGTCGGCTAAAAAACATATCTCCATCTCCAACCCGAGAAATGCACCTTTCATATGGATTACGTAATCAGAAGGTATTAGCTTTAGATTCGAATTTGTTCGTTTTAAAGTGGACATTTCGAGCTTTAGCCAGGCGATATTTTGTTTCAGTTCTCGAGCTCCAGTTCACGGAGACCATGAAAGCGCGCCTGATTGTTTTATTTTATTTTACAAAAGCACAACGTTTTCTTGTTATTGTGAGTTTACGCAAATAAAAGTAGTTGCGAATAATGTATGGCCAGAAATAATAGAGTATTTTACGTTGTTTCCACTGTTGATAGGAAAATGCAAGTGTTCGCGCCTGTGCCTCCCTGCCATGCAGTGCGCGCTTCACACTTCGCACAAACACTTGGATATGCGTCAAAATCTTGTTTATTTGTGATAATCTTAGCCCTATTATTATTGTCCACCCTGTATTATGAATGAGATGTGACGAATTGCTTGGTTTCTTTTTTGGATAAAAGCGTCTTCTACATATGTTGCCTGATAAATGTTATAATAATGATGATAATTATAATTATTATTATTTGCGGACACGGACCCCAAACACACCGCGTCTTCTAAGTCAGGTGACTGTAAATGCGCAAAACCCGTTTCCATTGCAGTTTTGCGAAATATTCCTTTTTCGAATTGCCTGAAAAACCACCTCATGCGAGCGTAAAAACTTTTTTGCGATAAACGGGAGTTTTTGCGAAATGGACGTGTTTCCATTGAGCGTATTTTCAATTCGCAATTTCAATTTGCGCAATTTGAAGGGTAATGGAAACGCGGCTAATGACTCTCAAAACCAATTTACTCTTATGTACTGTATGTTCATTTTTTGTTCTTCCTTGTCATTCCTCCTCATCTTCGCTCTATTTTTCGCTAAGCATTATCTTGCTTTGCTTTTGAGAGAGACATCCACTATTGCATTGCATGTTTGTGCATTTTGGGGGCGGAGCAATGAAGGGTTTGTTTTGGGTTGATTTAAAATTTCAAGTATTCAACAACGGTTTTGAGAAATGACATACTGCAACTTTAATGTGATAGTTTCATCCTTTAATTCTACTATACTATAATTTACTGCTAATCCCAATATCCTTCACATCAAAGAATAAACATTTGTCCGTATTAATGTTTGTTATGTCCTAATGGTCTGGTGGTAGAATTTTTGTCCAAAGACGTTCATCAGTGATTTTATGTCAAGAGCGGGGACACGTTTGTGTGCATTGTGTTTTGTGATTTCACCGGAACGAATAGAGTCTCCGCGATGGAATGAAGCGATAGATTGAAGTGCCAGATTGCCTCTTATTTAACAAACAAACAAAATAAATACTCTGCTAGTCAAGTGGATAAAAAAAGAGAAAGATGCCAGTGACTTCTGGGGTATTTAATAATTTATTGTATTATTAATATTTTTTTATAAATAGTGGCATATGATTTATAAATAAAAATCTTTAGTATTTATATTTATGTATGCATATTTCCTTATTTTGTTATCAAGGATGCTGAAGTTCTAGATCTTCTGTACTGTTTTTGTTACAATTTTAATATGCTGTGTAGGGAGTTAAAAGCTATTTAAAATAAAGAGATTAAATTCGCCTAATCATACACTTGGGATAGAGTAACCAAAGAACAGATTAATATTAAGTAAATCAGTAAGTAACTAAGGGTACGTTTACACAACAATGAAAAAAAAAAAAGTGTTTTTGAAAAGTTATACAGACAACCTTATAATAAGGATCCCCGTTCACACGGATCTGCGAAAACAACTAAAGATTCTGTATAGTTCATGCCAGGCCAGTAGTTGGCGACGTCACTTTGTAACACATTATACGTGTCACCATTTTCACAAATCCGTGTTGTTGGTGTTTACATGGAGGCGATAACGGTATCGTTTTCAAAAACTTGCAACTTTCGAAAACAGTTTTCAGTTTTTAGTTGAAAAAAGTGTGTAAACATCCCCTTTTCTTTCAATATTCATCTGTCAAAATCTATCCAACTTTAACTTGCAAGTTGTTTAGTAGATACGCTACGGAAACATGCTGAACTTTGTCGAAAACCTCGAGTGTGTTGTCACTGGCTTACATGACCAAGATTATCTT